GTTGTGACTGGGCTTAGCTTCCCTGAGTTCTTACGCTGCTGGACTGGAGAATCGCTCGAACCTCAGATCCGATACCATGCGAAGGTTCTAGGGGAGGTGGCAGCGACGTCACCGATCTCATCCCAGCCCTTCTGCCCTCCCACAGGGCCTTGCGCAGCATGTTCTCCAGCCTCTGAACTTCGCCGGGCTTCTTGTCCGCCAAGTCTGCGAGCCTCGCTTTGCACATGTCATCTGCAAAACCGGGGTGGAAGCCGAAGTGTCGGAGCTTCACAGTATGACTCTTTGTGGAAACTTTTGTGGCGCTCGTGGTTGGCTCCGCAAATCCTGCTGAATCCGAAATTGCTTAAGTTTGACGTACCGAGACAGGGACTCCCATGGGTCTTCCTTCACGTCGAAGAGCTGCGCAGGCCAAGGTTTGCCTTCGAAATTCCAGGGCAGACGCATGCGAAGCGAGCGCTGTGCCTGCACTTAGAGCCAGGAGCTGATGTTTCTGGATTTGGGGGTATCTTCTACCATAGTTATAACAAGGAACCCCCAAAATAGTGATTCGTAAGTATTATTCCCCTATAGCAGCAGACTCTGGAAAGCCTTTCACAGCTTGACATTCGGCCGCACAGACCCCGAATGTTTTCCACCTGTTTCGTGATCTCCCATCGCTCCCGTGCACCTCCGTGGTAGAGGGGCGCGTGCACAATCAGTTTCAGGTGGCCCTGACGGATCATGAAGGCCCCAGTCCTGCAGTGAGCATCAAAGCAGTCTTTGAGTCTTTAACCGCTGGATACCACTTCCAGTATACAGTTTAGACCTTCACAGGCCGAGCATCCGTGAGTAGGAGTCGTGGTACTCCGACACGACATAGTTGCGCTTGCCTCAGATCCACTGCAAAGGAACACCCAACTGGTCACCTGCAGCTGAAACCAATCGGCGAGGGTAGTGCGGTGCAGGCCAGGTGCGCTCGTGACCTCTCGCCATGGGCAGTACCGATTCGCCGGCAAGCTTGGACTGCGGACGGGCGTCCCGGGACAGAAAGCTTGTATGGGTGGAAGCACAGCAGAACAACGTCCCTTGTTTCTTGACTTGCACCGGCTTCGCGGTGTGCTAGAAGGCTGTAAGAAGATGCTAGAAGTACTACCACACATGACGGATGTGTTCGGCAAACACTGGTCAGACTTTTCCCGGCTTGGGTTTCAAAGGGTATCTGAAGATCTTCTGTCGACACAACCCAGAAGCGATATGGACAATCAAGTTCGAAATGTCAAGGCGGATCAGATCATGGCCCTCCTCGGCTTATCCTGGGACAGCTCCGTGGATTCACCATGATCTCAAAGAGAGTTGCTGGGTTTGCGCATTTTTCCAAAGACGCCTGGGTACTGCGAGACTTTGAGGCTTCGGAGTGCCTGCCTGTGGCACTCGACTCTTCGCGCCCGCCATGTCAAGGAGTGTAGGGTAAACGTCCTTGCAGTCTTCTGGTGAGCTCGATACAGCAGTGTACAAGGAGAGCTTGCAGCCACGGTTCATGCAATGACGTCAAGCCGTTGATGCGCTGCCCCTGACAACTGCACAGCGGCAGGGGTCAATGTCTTGGGGTGGTTTAAGGTCCCATGATTGGACCTTCAGGTACTAGATTTGTTTGAGGTGGGGGGTAATTCAATTTTGAGGTCCGCTTCTAAGATCGACGGCCCTTTTTGAGGGGCTTCTACACGAAACCTTCCCGGCACAGACCCCCCCAAGCAGTGAATATACCCAATAGCTCTTTGGGTCCCACGATGGCGCGATGACATTCCAAGACCGATCTTGTTATTCTAGGGTCTCCCGATCGAGGCTGAATAGCAAAAGCCCGAAGCCCTAAGCCCGAACGACATCACAGATCGTCGGATGGCTTCTTAAGATAATCCGCACATGCATAGCTAGATGGAGAAGCAGATCCCCAAACTCAACACCCTTCAGTATCAGGAACGTTTGCAAACGCCCTGAGAAGACACCTGACTTTGGCTGGGCGCGGGCACACTTGTTCCGGTTCCCTCACGGTGCGTCCATGTCGGAAGGATACTTTCGGTTTGGCCGACTGCGGGGCACGCATAAACAAATCTTCAGTTGATCCTGCGCAGCCGCGGCACCGTAAGAGGCTTGGATCTGCTACACGCTCTTCAGCTGATCCTGCACAGCACTACTGTCACCGCCATGGTCAGCAGAACCCCAGGTCACGATGGAGCCATCGTCAAGAATGGCTGCAAACGCGCAGTTTGAGGCATGGATCTGCTGCACTTTCTTCAGCTGATCCTGCACAGCACTACTGTCACCGCCATGATCAGCATCACCCCAGGTAACGACAGATCCATCGGCAAGGATGGCAGCAAATGCACCCCCAGGACGGGGAGGTTTTGTGGCTTGGATCTGCTGCACAGTCTTGAGCTGGTCCTGCACAGCACTACTGTCACCGCCGTGGCGAGCAGGACCCCAGGTCACAACGGATCCATCGTCAAGAATGGCTGCAAACGCGTTACGAGAGGCTTGGATCTGCTGCACATTCTTCAGCTGATCCTGCACAGCACTACTGTCACCGCCAAGGTTAGGATGACCCCAGGTCACGACGAATCCATCGGCGAGAATGGCTGCAAACGCGCAGCGAGAGGCTTGGATATGCTTCACATTCTTCAGCTGATCCTGCACATCACTACTGTCACCGCCATGCTCAGCATCGCCCCAGGTCACGACGGATCCATCGTCAAGAATGGCTGCAAACGCGTTGTCAGAGGCGTGGATCTGCTGCGCATTCCTCAGCTGATCCTGCACAGCACTCGTGTCACCGCCCTGTGTACAGTGAGCATCACCCCAAGCCACGACGCATCCATTGTCAAGAATGGCTGCAAAAGCAAGGGAAGAGGATTGGATCTGCTGCACATTCTTCAGCTGATCCTGCACAGCACTACTATCACCGCCATGCTCAGTATCACGCCAGGCCACGACAGATCCATCGTCAAGAATGGCTGCGAAAGCACCCTGAGAGGCTTGGATCTGCCTCACATTCTTCAGCTGATCCTGCACAACACTGCTGTCACCGCCATGCTCATCATCACCCCAGGTTACGACGCATCCATCATCAAGAATTGCTGCAAACGCGCAGTTTGAGGCATGGATCTGCCTCACATTCTTCAGCTGATCCTGCACAGCACGACTGTCACCGCCATATTCAGCATGACCCCAGGTCACGACGGATCCATCGGCAAGAATGGCAGCAAATGCACCGCCGTCATCAATTAATTCATGCGTCGTTTGGATCTGCTGCACATTCTTGAGCTGGTCCTGCACAGCACTACTGTCACCGCCGTGGCGAGCATCACCCCAGGTCACGACCGATCCGTCGCCAAGAATGGCTGCAAAAGCCCAACCAGTTGCTTGAACTTGTACTCTGTTCATGTGCAAGGTCAGTGTGCAACGGTCCTGCAGCCTGGCACGCTTGATCGACTCGCGTGCATCTAGAATGCTTCCAGAAGCATCCAGCAGGCACCCTCTTCCGACTCCAAGTGCGATCTGTGCCCGACGTTTGAGTGTTCCGACTTCTTCATCCAAGTCGGCTTCCACGGTGACTGATTTGCCGCTGAGCAGTCCAACTTCCACAGTAATCGACATGAGAAAAGGGTATCTGTAGTTCTGACCTGACAAGTGCCTGATCAAGACATGCTGCACGACTTAAACCCAAAAGCCCTGTAACATACAGCCCTGTAACATACACACACACACAGGTTGGAGGCTCGGCACTGACAAAATCCGGCGGAAACTTCCGATGATCATGCGGCTAGGATAGCTCGAAAGTTGCGTTATCATCCTGAGTCATACGTTGCATATTTATGTCTGACGATTTGACTGAGGGCCATGAGCAGGCAGCTTGTGCTACGTCGGCGGACATACTTTACAACAAAGACCCAAAACAACCAGCGCATCTGCCTCGTTCTCCCTAAGCTACACTCCAGCCACCACCCCACCCGGCCAATGCATAAACATATAGATGTATGCACATACGCATAAAATCAACATATATAAACACCTGCAGATAGATTCAGATATACTTTTCACATACCGAACAAATACACCAAGGTATAAGACACTTTGGCACCCACGGACATAGCCATGTAGCCTGAAGCTCCAAAAGCCCTAAACCCGAACCCCCAAGCTCCAAAAACCCTACTCCAAAAATCCTACACCCTAAACCCCCAAACTCCAAAAATCCTAAACCCTAAACCCCCAAGCTCCCAAAATCCTAAACCCTAAACCCCCAAGCTGCAAAAATCCTAAACCAGAGCTGCCTTCGGCAGGCCCGGGCCAGCTATGATCAAGGGGATGCGGGCCGAGGCTTCCTCGCCAAGGAACCAGAAAACGAGGCTCTGAGTTTATGGCTCCTATAAAATAAGTATCTACCTATCTATCTATGTATATATATATGTATATCTGATATTTGTGTGTATATATATGTGATATGTATACATATATATTCTATATGTATGTGTATATATATATACATATCACACATATGTATATATGCACACCTATATTTGCATGTATATGTGTATGCGATGTGTGTGTATATTTATAATATAATGTATGCATGTATATATATATATACACACACACACATATATATATATATATGTAGATGCATATGCATATGTATATGTGTATGTAGATGTGTTTATATATATGTATTAACTATGTGTGTGTGTGTGTTTATTCGTCGGAAACACCAGCTCAAGTTTTGCTGCAGTTCACATGAGGCAGAGGATGGCCCCCGTACAGGAAGCACTGATCAAGTCTTGGTCAGCTTGTTGCTTAGACGGACTTTGCAAGAGGAAGCTCGGACGCACTTGCGTGCCCGCAGTCTTCAGCGTGGCTGCCTGTGCAGTCCGAGCATGCGCACGGCTGTCCTTCATGGAGCTTTTCTGCCATTGCCTGTTCTCCAGGTTGTGCTCGCCGTGGTCCTGCGCTACCGTTGAGCAAGAGGGAAAAGCAAGAACCCAGCTCGCTGACTATCAATGAAACGGACAGCCGATAGAAAGGGGACTCGTCGGAGTTAAGAGACAGCAGCAAATGCAGTACTTCCTGTTGAAGGCTCTTTTCCTCCTGCCTAATCGGAACATCACTATGTTTACCGGGCAGACGCCGACACTTTGATGAGCGTATGAGAGCTAGCAGTTTAGCACAGGCACGGAGACGAACATCACGTAGGCATTCTTGACGCCGCTGTTGTAGAAGGCACTCAGGATGTTGCCAACCAGCTTATCCGACTCTACACCTCGGCTGCAACACGAGTTCCTTTGCAATGTGCTGCGGACTTCTAGACGAAGTACAAAGTCTCGCAGTCCTGCGTGTCCGAAAACCGAAACCATATGGTACTTATGACAGCTGGCTTGTACTGCAGTTTTTGCAACCGGCACTCTTCGTACGGAAGGTACTGCAGTCAACTGTTCGCCTTGAAGTTGGTTCCAGGTGGGGCGTCCATCTCATGGAATCACTAGAGTACCACTTCGACTGGGATGTGCAGAATCATTCTGAACGGGCTGCAGCTCGCACCCACTCTCTTAGTTTCAGACCTGCAGGCCATTCGCTGTTTTCCGAGCATGGGGCGCCTTTCTGTCTATGAAGTCTACGATAGTACAACAACGCCAACTACTACTACGACCACTACTACAACTAGCACTACGACTACCACTATGAGTACTACTAGTACTGTTGCCGATTGCTACTGCTGCCCCAACTATGTCTCACCAGCGCGGAACAGCACTGCTACCAGGTATTCTTGTTGTCAGTCCAGAGAAGCTTTCCCTGTGTGAGTTTAGTTAAGCTGATAGTGACGCCTACATGTAAGCGTGTCGGGGCGCGGTGTTTGAGACCTACCTAACAGCCGAAGACTCTGAGGAGTGAGGGAAAGCGCGAGAGACAGAGAGAGAGAGAGAGCGCACACTTTCGAGCTTGTGTGTCCGTGTGTGTGTGTGTGTGCGTTTGTGTATGGATGCAGGGTGTTGTTGTGAGAGCAGGCAATGCAACAGCAATGTTGAAGATCGCTTCTGGAGAGTCAGCCTGGACAGCTTTGTTTCAGTTGCTACAACTCCTGTTCACTGTCGCATCCACGACTGCGTTGCCTCAAGTGACGGAGTCCACGAACCCTCTACTGTCATCAAGCTGCACATGGAGAAGTAGACACGGCGGAAGTGCTCGATGTCCTGCAAAGAACGGCATTGACTGGGGGGAGCGGAGACTCAGTGGGTCTTGGGTTCCGAGTCCAGCACAATGAGTATTATAAATGACAACATGATACCTGAAATCGAACATGACAGAAGGTTGTTCGGCCGAAAAAATGACAAACGAACCTGTGTAATTGTAATAGCAGCTATGGAGGGACCAACACCTATGACTGATGGCAACCGCAAGAGCGAGTAACATATACCAGTAGCCACCGGCCAATATGGTAAAGAGCACGTGGCGCGATGTGGGGGTGTTCCGAGGCAGCAGGTGGTGCCAACGTGTGAGAGACAGTTACAGTACTGCGTCTGGTGACACATGGGGGTTTCCGAAAATAGGGGACCCTAATATAGTACCCTTAGTAGTAGGATTCTTAGTATAAGGGCCCCCAAATAAGTTTTCCCCCATTTTCGGAAACTCCTACATCACCCTTGCTGTCGCCAAGGCCGCTAGGGCGGCTAAGGGCTAGTTCAGAGGCCAGTCTCAGCTTGGCCCTTTCTCGACTGCTTCTAAGAACGGAGTTTCCGAAAACAGGGCACCCTAATGCCTAATATAGTACCCTAAATAGTAGGATCCCTAAGATAGTACCCCAAATAGTAGGATCCTTACTATAAGGGCCCCATAGTAAGGTACCCCTAATTATCGGAAACTCTCAGAAGGACACGAAGAGAAGGCCTTGGCATCGCACTCGTCCATGTGCCAGAACTGCTTGGCCTTGGCCGCGTATGCGTCCGCCGGATGGAGCTTGTCCCGCGGCACGAGCCGTGGGACGGCATGCCTGGAGAATTGACTGAAGAGCTGTAGACTGTCGACCGCATGAGAACAGAAGAAACCTCCTGTTGCCTCGCATTCTGTAAAGGATGGGTATTCTGGGAAAAAATACCAGCCTGACTCGAGATTGCACGGCATTGCAAGAAGGTGCGAGGCACTACACTTCTGATCTGCGACCTCATGTCACGAGTTGCTGCGCCTTCCGCAAAGCTTGCCAAAACAAAGGCAGGCTGCTTGCCCAAAGATCCAACCGCATTCCAGTATGTGCCGTTCGTCTGGTATGGCGGGTGCGGCACGGAGAAGGAACCTAAGATCCGTGCGAAGTCTGGCCCCCTTTTGGCATCTCCTGACCTGCTATGAGCCCGGAAGGACTCCTCAAGTTGGACTCCAGCTGTGGTACTAGTCTGCCTGGGCCACCTAGAATCCAAGGGGCAGTACAGAAACTGCGGCGTTGCCTTCTTGAAGATCCCTTGGCGAATAAGCTTCGCACATTCCTTGCGGCGAGGAAATGAAGAAGTCTTTGGTGCAGAGGGAACGCTCTGTACTTCGACTTTGACAGGAGTTTTGTACGGCAGGCGGGCTTGTGTCGGATGGGGCTCAAGTTTCAATCCGCTGAACTCGCGACGTCTCCAAAAAACCAACGCCACCGAGTTCTTGCTGCTGGCCTCTGCGGTAGGGTAGTCATAGAAGCCTTCAGCTGGCATGGGCCTTCAGCGCAAGCGCGCTCCGAACCGAGCTTTTGCTCCATGTGTCAGAACTGGGACTGCAGTGCTTTAAGCTTTTTTATTGCGAGAACGACTGTAGGTACAACACCGACTTTGTGGAGACGAGGCTTAGAACTCAGCACCGGTGCGCTCTCAAGATTTGTCCCGCGTCACTCCATGGCACTGTGGACAGAAAGCTGCACAATGTGATGCCGAGTGGCACATCGTTCGGCCTTCGCATCCAAAGGGTAGGGTCCTGCCTCTTCGAGACAACCTCGGCTGCTTCACCCAGATTGTGTGGTGAAAAGACGAGACTCAGTCTGCACTGCCTGCAGCTCGTGGCTCCAGAATTTGCCTCTCCATCTCTCTAATGAAGCCCAAAGAAGCCCCTGCTAGCTTCGAGCTGCCCTCGATCCTGCAACTCCAGAGCCCAAGGCACGCCCGACAAGCGCGACCAGGCTTTCGCCGACTCCCTCACCGGCCCGGTTCCCGTGAAGGGGTCGTTGGAAATCCTCGGAATCGCGTTTCCGTTTCAGAACTCTGGCTTCTTCATCTCTGGAGAACCCAAGCTCCATCCCGGTTCTTCCCTGAAGTCTATAGACGAAGAGGTCACCGGCACCCCAAGCCAAGAGCTCCACCAACATTCAACGGACGGAGGCCCCTGACTCAATGTCTCTCACTCACCTGGAGGATCTTGAACTCCGACCCCAGTAGTTCGGGCAAAGGATCTTATGGCTGAAGCGATCCAGGCCAGCTCCCACATGAACCTGTCAAGATTCAAGGGCAAAGCGGGATGAAGACATTCCGCACCCGGGGGACAGTTTCAAACGGAGTTGGGTTTGGGCACAATTGCTGGTGCACTTAGTTCGTCAGTTGAGCACGTTTGGGCTCGCCTTGCCCCAGAGTGTGATTTCGTATCCGTGGTCTGACAGGACGTCGATGAAGGTGCCATTGATCTTCTGCTCGGCGGCGAATTCCCGGCACTCGCTGCGTGAGAAGGCATCTACACACCTGACAGGGGTGCTGCCGCTTGTCTGTTTTAGAGCCCTCCATATAACTTCAATGAGCACATGGCGAGAGGCTCTTAACATTCTCAACAGACAACTAAAGACGGACATGCCGCAGGATGCAGGGCTGGCACAACCATCAAATCATTATGTGAGAAAATGCAGTTCGCGTATGCATGCACTGCTAAGACTAGGCTGTAGGGAAGTCTGCAGCATAGCATTTCCAAAGCAGGAGGCACCTCTTGTCTAGATTGCTGTTGTCGCCGTTCACATTCGCGATGCCAATGAAATTATCCCAGACCTTGATATCGGAGTTGTACCTGCCCGCAAGCATCGACGTCCTCGCAGGCACGCACAGTGGCGAGTTGCTGTAGGCGTTTGGGAAATACCTCAGATGCCATCGTGACAAGGCCAGGCTCTCATCCTCTGACACCCGGTCTGTTGCTGGTGCTTTCGTGGACCGAGGCAGGTGCGTGCCCCGCTTCATGAGCTGGCGGAGGTGCGGCATGGGGGGCTTGAACTGTGGCGTCTCATCATCTAGAATTCCTGAGCGTGCTTAACGGTGCGCGATTCAGATACACATGCTCGAATGCAAGTTTTTTTTGGCTGGAAGGGAATGCCCCATTCCCAGAGCATCAGCCCCCGTCCCACAGCTTTGCCTAAAGCCTGGCATTAATCTTGCAAACCCGGGTGTCGGCCATCCATCTCATCCACCATGATGAACAGGATGTGCGGCTTCCCACTGCGATGTGCAGCACTGTTGCTCGCATCTCCGGCCTCAGAACTCGAGTCTGCGGTTGAGAGAACTAGACTCACTCACGAGACAAGATTCCCTGCATCCTCCGCGTAAACCTTTAGTCCGTGGTGTTGTGGCTACGACTCCTGCAACTGCCCCCTCGCAACAAGGAATACATGTCCCCAATTGGACCGAGCCGATGAGGCTCAAAGGCCCCGGTTCTGCCGAGGCGCACAGAAGTGCAGAGCTAGGATGACCTGTCAGTCGTAGGGACTCTTGCAGGTTCTCGATTGTGAGCTCTTACAAGCACATTTTTGTGAGGGAGGCTTTGCTGACGGGGATCGGATGCGCGCACACAGAACTGCCATGCTTGCGCTTTCTGTGAATCATAGTGGCTGAGGGCAGTGCGGCCGTCGAGGCTGTCCGGAGCATGGCGCTTCTTCCAAGGGAAAGAGGTTCGGTTGAACGTGGGATGCAAGCTGTGGCTTGAGCCACAACTCAGAGAGCCGAACTATTGCTTGTTGCAGTTCAACCCGGTGGAATCTTGCAAGTTGGGGTTTGGGGCTTAGGGTGCTGGGTTTAGGATGTCGGGCCTAGGATTGAGGATTTGGGGTTCAGGGTCTAGGGTTCTGGGTTCGGGATTCAGGGTTTTGAAGGCTCGTGTCTTTAGGATGCGTCGTGCCATGGGACTTACATCGCGCATACCAGGCATGTCCCAGCACCAACCCTAGCTGCCCTTCTAGTGAGCCATATGTTAAGCCTGCAGTCATGGCCTTTTCGTAACTATCGTAGTAACCGTATGGTAGCAATAGTCGTACCATTACGGGAACTACTGCAGTAACCCTATGGTAATGGCAGGAGGGGGGGGGGTCGGGCGCTGGGGTTCTCCTTCATGGCCCTTTTGCACGCAGCTCTCCGCCAGCTGCCTCCCACAGGCAGATAAGAATGCAACGACAACAACAAAAGCAACATCAACGAAACAGTAGGAATGAATGATAGGATGTGTAAGCCTGCCTGCAAGCCCGAGATCATGCAAGCATGCAGATTTGCGAGCCCGTGGGAGCGAGACGCACTGACTTTGTCAGCCGTACAAATCGGAGCCCCTGCCTATCTGTCCAGAAGCTGAGCTGCATTTGAGAAGCTCGCAGATTAAAACTCGCATGTTGCGTACGCTTTTAAAAGGAGAGAGAGCCTGGAGTCGAACCGTCAGAAACAACTTCCTCGCAAGGCTCGATCGAAGACGGGTGTTCTGCAGACGTTAAGGAACACGACCCGGGCTCGGGAGACTGGTTCGAGCGCGGAGAGCTCATCCGACACCAGTCGGCACTTGAACGGGCCCTTGTGGGACTTCTAGACTGCGTCGCCTACTTCGCTTGCCGCACTGGGGCTCTCCCCATTCGGGCACTCCAGGGTGTGGTACTTGGCGCCTGTGCAGATTCGCGAGAACGAACGTTTCAGGACTTCAAGATCATTACGAACACAGTGTATGTGTGTGACCTCAAACTGAGATTGCTTGCTGAGTCCGGGAAAATCTCCGGAAGTTACTTCCAGGATGCTTGATTGTCCGAGCTGCCTTCTCTTCACTGATACAGCAGAATGACATGCAAACCGGGCCCAAGCAAAGCAAACTTTTCGATCCCGCTAGAGACTGTCGAGTCAGTTCTCTGTCGTAACATAAGGAGCCCTAATGTAGAATCCCAAGCAGAAAGATCTTTCTCATATGGCCCCCCAGGGCGCCCCCCCACATTGCCTAAATAAAGTGCCCCGACATTCTGAAACCTCGCTATCTCTTAAAACTGGAACCCTTGCAGGCCCACTTTCGACGGATGAAAACGAAACCCCCAACCCTTATAGCAAGCCTTACGGAATCCTTTTACAACCCTGAAGTAAACCTTGTCGCAACCCAAACGTAATCCGCGCAAAACCCTTATCGCAACCCTTAGACGCCTTATAATCGCTTTTTTTGGAGCCCTTAAACAAACCCTATAGAAGCTTTAGTCGCCTTTAAAGGAGCCCTTGAAGGAACCCTTACGGTCACCCCTGTTCTGGGTTAATTTAGGGATCTATAGTACATAGTATGGTTCCCTTATTGTGGCAACGAAAACTCAACTCCTGAACGAGGAACCACCCTAAACCCTAAACCCCTAAACCCTAAACCCTTGACCCTTAAACCCCTAAACCCTAAACCCCTAAACCCTAAACCCTTGACCCCTAAACCCCTAAACCCCTAAACCCTATAACCCTAAACCCATAAACCCTATAACCCTGAAGCCTAATCTCTTTTCTGCTCTCGCCTCGCTGGCGCCTGCCCGGCCTCACTTGGCAGCAGCGCTGTCCCAGCCACTGCTCCTCAGCAATGCATACAAGTATGAGTACTATGTAGGCAAATATTTGTAAACTTGTGACTATGCATAATGAAAGATAAAACTAACTCAACAAAGAAATGGATGACGAAATACATGGTTAACTACGAAAACGAATAAATATTACATATATGTATAAATATATATATATATGTATATATATGTGTGTAGTATGCATCATATGAGTACCTATGTGTGTGTGTACATACATACATACATACATACATACACATACAGATATGCGTGTATATACACGCACACACGCTTTTGTTGCTGATGGGGCCCTCCCAAGTGAAAGCCGGACCCATGGATCCAATGCTGTCGGCCCTCACCAACTGTGAGCCATGTGTCAACTGTGTGCGCATCGTAGGCGTCGAACCCGGGATGGGCCAACTCCTCAGTCATGCCGAGGCAGCGGAAACAGTTGATCGAGAGGGCTGCTTTCAGAATTCGCCGATGTGAACTCCCAGGTCCCAGGTCCTATTATTACTCTCATTATCAATATTATGATTTTTATATATTATATAATATATATATATAGACGGTACCTACGAAGGTTGCTGATCATGCTCGGCTAATTGAGGGTAGCTCTTCTCACATCCGAGTTTCCATCGCAGCAAAGCACCCCGCAGGGCCAGACTTCTTGGAGTAGACATACCTGGGCTCCGGTTTTTGGTTTCGGTCAGGCGCCCGAGGTGACTGCATCAGAAAGAGATTTTGACAGTCTGTTGTAAGTTGAAAATTCAAAAACGGATGGACCTGATCTGCTCGGCCCGCCGAACCCAGGAAAACTCTCGACTTCTAGACGAGATGCTTCAAGAACATTTCCTTGTCGTAGGCCTTCTTCGCGGCATCGGCAGCATTGATATCAATTTCACTTCGGAGGATCCTGGAAATTCTGGGCTAGCTCTCGGTATGCGGAATGCCTCTTCCAATACTGGCCGCAGGAACTAGAGAAGATTAGGGAAGTTAACATGACATGGAGCTGTCACTAGGTTCTAGGGCGCAAGCCCCGAAATCCACCAACTCCCAAATGCGCTCGAAACATAGCACAGTATGGTACAATAGCAGAATGCACTGTCTGGTATAGCACTATGAAATTATGAGCCCATCTGGTCAAGAGTCCCTTGGAGGTGCTGCACCATCTTCGGGTGGTCTTTGGCTATGTTGGCCCGTTCCCAGGGGTCGACCGACAGGTTGAAGAGCTGTGGTGGCCACTGCCTAACACAAGCTGCTTTAGGCTTACAGGGATCTGGGGCTTAGGGCTTAGAGCGGCTTAGGGTTCAGGGCTGCCGGCGTTGAGAAATCGTTGGGCTTCTGGTGGCTTCTGAGGCTTTAACGCCACTGGATGGAACATGCGGACATGCAGGCCAAAGCGCTCACCGCTGAGCAGCGGGGCGTGATAGATGTACTTGAGATCCCCCTGCCGTACCATGTACATCCCAGTCCTGCAGGCGCTGTAAATGGGAATGAGCGGATAAAAAAGCAGCAGAAGAAGGAGAGCAAGACAAGCTAAGTCTTTAGTGAAAGCACATGGGCGCCTGTGAGCTTGACATCGGCTTTGGAGTAAAACCCTCTCCGGCCTGGAATACGAGTCATGGTACTCGGCGACCACCTGCAGTCCAAGACTGCAACACTGCAACCCACTGATTCCAGCAGCATTGGGCGAGGCACGAGGTCGAGAAAGCCACGAATGGTACGTTTCACTGTCAAGCTAGTTCACGAGTACTTCGATTCATGGAAAAGCATCTACATTAGCCAGATGGGGTTTGTAAACTCCATACTTCAGGGTCTTTGGGGTCCTCGATACAGGATTTCGTCCTTAAGCCGTTGCATCCAGGCACATGAAACTTCTTCCTGCCGTGGCCCTGCGCTGCCGGCAACAGGGACTCGCCAATGAGATGCTTCTCCCTGGGCCTCGGTAGTAAGGTCTCTGAGTCATGGCCATGAGGGAGTTTCCGAAAATTAGGGGTACCTTGTTTTGGGGTCCTTATAAGGATCCTACTATTTAAGGTACTGTATCAGGGTCCCCTATTTTCGGAAGCTCCCATGAATCATGGGATAACGACTGCCCAGCCATGACACCCCTGAGAGAAATGCATCTTCAGCCAGAGCAACGAGAGAGGGTAAGAGTGAGTATGCAGTGATTTACGGAATGAGTGATTATGTCTATGAATGCATTGATTGAAACGAACTTGCTGAAACGCCCAGCTGGTGAGGCTCGCACGGAATGCCGGCAATGTCTAGGATCGTGGGATAAACGTCCTGAGTCAGCAGCCGTTAGAAGATTGATGGTATAGTCTAATCTACTACATTATAGTAGTCTAGTCTAGTATAGTGTAGTAGTATATGCATAGTATATAGCCGTGTCCAGCCATTGCCCACAGAGGTTATCCCGAGGCTATGTTGGCTTGCACAACCTCTTGTTGCAATCTTCACGAGCCCGAAGGTAGGGCCGTTTTTAGGAGCATCAGATTCTGGAACAGCCCCAGTTCATCATCAACGCAAAGCGTTCAGGTTGGGGCGGGTGCACCGTGACTACTGACACAGCTGTCGTGCTGAGCCATGCTGCGTGGAGTGAAGCCACCTTCAGTGGGCCGGATGGGAAGCTCACTGTGGGTTCCGGGTCTCGTGATTCCAGTACTGTGGCTGCAAGCACGTCAGGAAGCTTGTATTGACATCGACTGACTCGGCAATCCATACAGTTGCATAGTTGCATAACCTTGACCCGACACTTCACAAACAAAAGAAACCGGCCGCCTGGTGGATCCTCCTCGGCCGAACTCCCGGACCGGCCAGAATGAATGGAACCCGCACAGAGCCCTCCAACCTTTCACGACGCACCGTTTCTTTGCTAGTCTCGACGGTATGTTTCGGGTCTTGGGATGTAGCGTTCTACCTCCACGAACGTCAACATTACGCACGCCTTGCACACTTCGGAGTTCCAGGTTCAAGACGACAGGGGTTGGAAATCAGGCTATAGCATCCTGAGGGATTCAAGCAACGACAGAAACAAGACAGAAACTCGACACCCTTAGTCATAAGCTGTGCAGTGTCTTCCGGAATACCATAGTCGTGATTTGTTGGCCGGCTGCTCCAGTCCCTGGATTTATGACTTTGGCATCTTTCGGACCTACACTCTGTGAAGGACCCTGTCGTCAAGGCTCCATTGGCTCGTCTTCTGCACCATAATGTGAAATAAGCACGTCTGCTGCTTTGGATGCTCTAGGCGGCCAGCCCACAGCGTGGGATTCAATCTACTGTGGAGCCTTGTGAGCTTGGCAATCATCTCAAAAGCAATGCAATGCGAGCAGAGTCCAAAAAGAAGGCAAGTCCTTGCGAGGTCACCCGAAATTCGAGGACATAGGCTCAGACATGCAGCATAGAGCTCTTCTGCCACTGTCGATTCTCCAGCGCATGATCCCCATGATCTGACAGCATCACCTGAAGAGAGACACCGTGACTCGGTGTATGAAAAGCAGCAGGAGGGTGCTCTCCCCATCCAGAGTACATGGAATTAGGAAATCACATAGCAAAATCATGTAGTTAGTTGCTCCACGAAGAACTGCTAGTGGCATTACCTGATTGAAACTTGGATGCAGTCTAACTCGACTTCAGAAACTTATGCAATAGCAGGAAACGTATATTCCAAACGTATAATGAACAACCACTATGCTAGATTGAGTGCAATGTGCTCTAAAGGCTGGTCTGTCCAGGCCAGAAGGTTAGTAAAGCAATCTTACAGCCCGTCGTGGGATATCAAGCACGGTGGCTAAGAGAGGACGAGTAGCAATGCTGACAGTAGTATTCCAAACAACGCTTGCGCTAGCATTCAATTCAATAGGTGGTTCCCTAAATCGTAGCACCCGCCACAACCGCTGGTGGACAACAGGGAACGATGGCAATAGCAAACCGGGGAGTAACGGAGTAGGGGTAGCAGTGGCAACAGGAGCAGTAGGAGTAGGAGCGGCAGCAGCAGCAGTATCATCAGTGGTAGCAGAAGTAGTAGTAGTCGTCGTAGTAGTCGTAGGGAGTAGGAGTACGAGTAGGAGTAGGAGTAGGAGTAGTAGTAGTAGTAGTAGTAGTAGTAGTAGTAGTAGTAGTAGTAGTAGTAGTAGTAGTACTAGTAGTAGTAGTAGTAGTAGGAGTAGTAGTAGTAGTAGTAGTAGTAGTAGTCGTAGTCGTAGTCGTAGTAGTGGTAGTGGTAGTAGGAGTAGGAGTAGCAGCAGCAGCCGGACTGGTAACAGGAGTAGCAGCAGGAGTAGTAACGTGGCAAAACAAGTAGTAAAAGTAGCAGTAGCTCAGTCGCATTAACGACTACGGCCTTGCTGCCGAAGGCACCACGTAAGCATCTTTGTCGCTTCCACTTTTCCGCAATGCTGCCAAAATCTGACCCAGGAGCTTATCCGTCTCCACGCACATCGCCTCTCCCCAAGTCCCAAGTTTTCCAGTATTCAAGTCCGACGACACAATGCAAGGCTGCTGAAAACAGCATCTTCGATGCATCCTCCGGGATAAGCTCAGCTCAACTGCAACATCCGAGCCAACTCGCTTCAGGTCTCGGTCCAAACAAACGATCTATATCTTCATCTTGGAGCAACAAGTCGCGAAGTAGATCCGTCGAAAGTTTTCGATCAGCGCCGGTCGCACTTCATCCAGGCCCCAGGTGCCCTGAGGCGAAGCAGGTCACTGTTTTCGCATAAACCGAAGGTGTAGAGGAGGAGGAGGAGGAGGAGGAGGAGTAGGAGGAGGAGGAGGAGGAGGAGGGGGGAGGAAGAGCAGCAGCAGAAGCAGAAGTAGCGGCAGGAGGATTTGCGTTGCACTCGTGCCGTTGGTGAGTGGTGGTGTAGCTGTAGCAATAGCAGCAGCAGAAGCAGCAGCAGTGGGTGGAGGAGAAGGAGTAGCAGTAGCAGCAGACGAGAACAGTAGCAGCGGCAACATTGCATGCCACGTCTTCTGATTCTGTCTGTACGAAATAATTTCTTCAGTTAATGCTACATCGTGTCCTGCTACAAGGACATCTGCCAGAGGCAGGTCCACCACTTCTGCGACTATTGCCCCAGCTGATGCTGCGGCACAAGCCTACCGGCTACCCATAAATAAGGCGAACGACAAGATTAAGACCACCACTCACAACATCAAGCAGCAAAATGAGCTTGTGCGATCCCTGCATGGCATCGTCACCTTACTGTGAATGCTTGCTTTCAGAGGCATGCACCTTCGCCTTCGCAGCATAGACGTCCGCAGGGTGCATCTCTTCTTCGCTGACATACTTGGGTACTGCCTGGGGGCTGTGCTGGCTGTATCAGCAAATAAGGGTTTTGTAAGTCTGTTCGACTGCCGTCGGGGTATGCTAATCAAACGACACCGGTAGGAGATGCATGACCACCTATCCGGAGCCCCTTCGACGACCGACGCGAGCCTTGCCTGAATCCCAATGTTCAGCATATTGTCTCGCAAAACTATTACATGCGAACCCTCGCAAGACGTGATGTTTCAGTGATTCCTTAGTCCTTGCCCGCGAGGCTCTGGGACGTCTCTTTCTCAAGTGCGAGTGCACGCCAGGGCGCCAGGTCGCCAAGCGGAGGCACCGCGAAGAAGTAGGTGGAGTTGGTTTGGTAGGGCGGGTGCGGGATGGTAAAGGAGCAGTACCTCAGGGACTCCCTCTGTCCGTATAACCCATGGCATATCTGATGGGGAGCAGCGCCGACGAGCCACAGAAACTGAGGCGTGGAGGAGTGGAAGAGCCCAGCTTGCAGCAGTTGGGTGCACATCTCGGCTGTGTCATAGTCGTGGTGACCTCGCCATGGGGTTACGAAAGCAAAGGGCCCACCACCAGAGCTTCGGGTTCTAAGCGCCACGCCCGGGGCAGGGGCTCTGAGGCCGGTTGGACGATGGAGCCACTTCGTCGGATTCCTAAGTTTCAGGCTTCGAGCTAGTGTGACCAAACCCGGAATTCCGATGTTCCAAGGGCCCCTGAGCGATGTGCTCTGGCCAGGGCTTCGGGCATCGGATGCTCCCGTGACATGGGCAAAGTCAAAATCAGCCCTGACCTTTTCGCACAGCACCGGAAGACCGTAAAACTGCTGCAGCCTCCTGGCTGGGCCCTGTCTCTATACGTAAATTCTAGTAGTATATTCTAGTAGATTACACTATGTTGTAATGTATCATAGTATAGTTTATTATAAAAGAAGGTTATATCGTCAACACCGAGGCCCCTGCTGGGATTTTCGCACCACGCCTTTGGCACAGAGTATCGTGAAGGCGGAGAAGGGAGAACGGTAGGTAGGACCGGGCACGCTACTGGGTGCGTTTTCCGGGCTTATTATCGACGAGGGTGCAGCTTTATCTTAACGATCTTGGCAAGGGCTCGTGTCTGCGCAATATGAATCTTTGGAGAGGGAGGCCTGTCTGTGGCGTGGGATGGGACAGAAACTCAGGAGAACTCTTGCAGGGTCAAAGCTTACTTGCGAGTGACTTACTGCTACTTGATGCTACGGTTGATGGTATAAATCCTGCATTACCCAGGATGAGGAATATACCATAATTCCCATAGTTTAGGGTCCTTAAGGTAATGCAGGATTTCTATCATCAACCGTAAGACAACGAGGCTGTTGCAGGCCATGCCTGTGGCCCGTGTCCAAGCGCGCGCCGCTTGTCCGAGTTGACTCGCGCCCTTGAAGGCATCCTCGTCGGAGAAAAGATCAAGTTGAAATTCGATCCGATCTTGCTTATGCTACAGAGGCGAGAAGCCTGATGGAGCCATGCGGAGCAACGACGAAAGAACCATCAAGGCTACCGAGTGCGCTCCTTCAAACAAGGCCTCTAAACTCTAAAACCCTCTGCAGAGATGTAAGACTTGCGCTACCTCTACCCTGTCTCGGCGCAGCATCCGGATATGAGGGTTAACGATTCAAGCATCATGAACCTAGCATAGGCACTTGCTAGTTGGGGTGCATCATACCGTAGGCTTCTTAGGTAGTATTGGGAGATAATATCACAACTGTTAACAGGTATTCTCACCCCTGACTAGAACTCAAGCCTCGACCGTGACGACATGTGACGACTACAGTTTGTTCTTCTTGCGCCTGAGCTGGAAACGCGCATTGTGGGGAGTTGCGGAACAGGTGCTTCGCCAAGGCGCGACGTCATAGTTCCCAAGCTGATCCATTCCTGCCCCAGCGTGTACCTCCCAGGAAGCCACTGCTTATCTGCATGTCTCAGTGCTCAGTGCTTTGCTCCCCTAAACTTTGCCTTGAGCAGCTGTGCTTCAGGCACAAGTACCATCCACGGGGCTGAGAGCACTTTACTCCTCCCTGGAAGCTGGTTTGTCTTCCCACTCTGTTTCCAGGGCCCGCTGATCTCAGAGCTCACCACAAGCCAGAATGGTGTCGAGGATCGTTTGAGGCCACCAAGCCATTTTGGGCAACATCGCGTCAAGCACCCTGCATCCGATCGGCGATGCGGGAATGGGAACAAAGCAGGGCAATGATCACCTGCTTCACCCACTGTGCTTTCGAACAAGTCTGGAACAAATCTGGACATTGCGCCGCAAAGGGGGGCGTAACGAAGGGCAAGCTTTGTCCAAGTCCATTTGGGCCCAAATGGGGGCGTTTTGTAAAGCCCTGGTTTTCACCACTTGTTTTCAACTTGGGATCAGACGCTGTGTGCAAACTCCAACTTTAAGGGCAGGACACCGGGGCGCTGAGCAACGTCGGGATCGGCATAAGCGGGAGAATTTTGCAAAACCGACCAAAACGGTCCAAAATGGCTCAAAGCTGTCCAAATCGGCCAGGTTTGGGAAGTTTCCCGTTCAACGAGGGAATTTCCGCGGCCATTCGAGGATTGGCTTCATGACTACGGGTCAGACTCGGAACACGACCCTTGTAGGAGCTGTTCAAATTGCATTCGCAGGGAAAGCTTGAAATCAGCCTTAAGCCCCCTTTGTTAAGCCCCCCTTCACAGCGCCTCAAGTCGAAGACACGGTCTATTCGGAAAGGGTGCCGGGCCTTACCCCACATCGTAATGTTGTAGCCATGGTCTCTCAGCACGTCTATGAAGGTGCCAGTGGTGTTCTGCTTCGCCGCGAAGGTCCGACACTCCTGGCAAGGGAAAGAAAAGGCCTTCAAAAATGCAAAGGCACGATGCTCCGATTAATTCGCTCATCATCCTCTTCTTCATCTGAGGAATATGCAGTTTCCAAAGTGGTGCTAGAGTAACGCCTCTTTCTGGTTTGAGGCCATTTGAAAGCTTTCTACTACCTCCGTAATGCAAATTTGTCAGACCTCATGCATCGTTCGTGTGCTGGCTGGCTACTCGCATGCCTTCCCTCGCCAGGGGCTGGACATGACTAGTAAATAATCCCCTTAACTATAGTCCCTCAATTTTGCGGAGCTATAGCCATCCCCAAAACGGTGCCATAATATTGCCGAAGTCTGTGCACCTCGAGAGAAAAGGCGTCAACGCAGCGCTGGTCGACGTTCGTGCGGGAGCCGTTTACACGAGCCTTCCATGAGAAACGAAGGATCTTCGCCCAGAAGCGTCGTTGTGAAACAGCGCGCAGATAAGTGCAAATCAGTCCCACTACTGTAACTCCTGGAACTCTCCGATTCTATCTACTATCTGTCTTCCCCGGAAGATTCGTTTGCGTTCGGGGATTTGCACCACACGAAATTGATTGAACTTTTGGCGAGTTCGAACACAAAGTCAGGCGAATCCCAAGCCAAAGGCCTTCTTGCCCTCCCCCCTACGTAGGCCCTACTTGGCACAATCTTCTCAATCTTCTTCCTTTCGATTCCCCTTCTCCGTATTTCACTCCTTGCTGACGTTACTTATTGAGCAGAACTGGTGCCATATAGTAAGAAGCTGCTGAGGTCACAGGTCGTGCCAAGGCACAATGCCAAGGAAGTTGTCCCACACCCGAATTTGTGAGACGGATCTGCCAGTGAGCATGGATGCACCTCAAGGAGCGAATGAACTGCAGTGGCGAATTACCGCAAGGCTCCGTACTTGTAGACTCGCAGCCGTCTGTCCAAATCCATTTATGCAGTAGCCCCCAAAAACTGAGTATCCGGCGTGCAGGGACGCACAGTGGTGATGAAGAGTAGGTGTTGGCGAACTGGGCACCTGTCCGGGTGGTGCACGATGGCTGCAGATTTCTTGATCGGACAGATAGGCATGTTCATGACATGAGCATTGTGTAACTTCTCTGCGCGAACATCAGAGGCAAACGTCGGACCGAATGAGGCTCTTCTGACGAGCACAGCTCTGGAAGAACGGAAGCGATGGACGAATCCGAATTCCACATTTACTCACTTTGGCGGAGTCGCTTCCTGAAGGAGCCACTCTGCGAAACCCTTTCAAACAGCTGACTTGAAGTCAGTGGTGAGCACTGTGTTGAGCTGTCCGCACATTCATCGACTAGGTGCGCTGTTAACCGACTTACCCGCAGTATCCGTACTCATCAGATGCTCACTACTTTCACGTCGGACCCTCGAATGAGCCTGCCTCTCTTGGCTAATGCCGTCAAGTGCTTCAGTGGAAGCTTCACCTGTGGAGATTCCTGGTCCAGAAGTCTGCCGTCCATCTCCTGAAAGCCCATGAAACGGAACCCTTTAGCCCACTGTAAACATGAAGCAGCTATCTGATGCCCACGCTACCAGCTGTGACACCTCATCAAGAAGCTTGAGAGCTACCGTCATATGGAACGGACACATGGAGAGTCTCATTTGTTCTGTCTAATTCGCTCTCTCCCTTTGGAGCACGCAGGACAAAAGCAAAGAAGTAGTTGATCCGCAAGATGAATACCCTACGACGTCTACGAGAATCTGAACCCTGGACCAGACTTCTTTCCCGGCTTGTGAATGGACAGTCTTGGGTCCGGGAACCCCGAAGCGAAAGACCAAAAGGACCACCACACCATCTAAGCAAAGCCGAGGTTCGTCAACCATGAGGAATAAAATGTGCGGCTTTGACCTCCGCTTCCCTGCACCATGCGCGGTGCAGATCCAAGCGCATACCTCGCAGGGCTCTAAAACCTCTCCACTCTCTATCCAATGGTGCCTAAGAAAGGATGCCGTCTCGCGACGTACGGCTCTGAAGTTCGGAAACCACTGGCAGGATGCAAATGCGGCAAGAGCTGGCCGTGTTGTCGCCGCTCCCCTTACCGTGGCCACGTTTATCCCCTTTTTTGCTTCGGATGCAAGTTCCCCTCCCAAAGCCTTTCTGGTGAGCTCTGAACTCAGACCTATGGATCTGGGGTTGTGGGACTTAAGACCAGCAGGCTCGGAGAGGCTCTCCTTGCCTGGCTGCAGCAGCTTAGTGCCTAGGAGTGTGATAGATCCGTTGAAGATCCCCCACTAAGGACGGCACCAGGAGAAGCCTCCTCAGCCATGAGCCCATCGCGGGTCCCTTATGAAGAACCGTGGCTAGAACGTATGCGGCCCGCCATTGTGCACTGGGGCTCCGAGCCAAGTTGCAAGAGGCTGCTTCAGATGACTAGCATGGGAAGCAGAGTCATTACATTCAGCTCTTCTGCCAGAGCCCCAAGAAACTCCAATCTTCCTGGAATCGCCGGATTGCACTGATGCTTCGTAAGCCAACTTCCCGTTGCACAATTCTGGAACTGCGGTCCTACCTAGTAGCCTCTTATAAGACCCCCAATGTGACTCACAACAGTGAGAGCCGAAGCCTTCCGAGGCCCCGCAAGACCGTATGTTCCCACCTCGACAGATGCTTAGTTCTCAATGGGCAGAGCACAGCGCTGTCTTAGACAGTGTCGGTGCCGAAGAGCCCGGTCAGCCGCTACCCCACGGGCGCGCAGCCCATTCAGCTGCGCAGCCACGAAGTGTGCGACTCCCGAACGCGCATTTAGCACATGTGAAGTGCCCGCTTGCTCTGAGACATGTAGCATCGCTTCAGGCGGGCCCAGCTCAGTTGGGGAAGGATGAGGATGTAGTGACCCACCGGGCCGATTGTGCTTGTGAATGCCACGCATGCCAGCAAGATCGAAACTGGAAGCAACAGGCCTGTGGCGTCCCAGCTCAAGAGGCCAACCAAGCCTTGGAACAGCTCCGTCATGCGATCCCGGAATAAGAAGTGAACGACGTAGCAACCGAGCGTTGTGTTGCCCCACCATGTGGCATTGACTGGCCAATACGCTGTACCCAGTGCAAAGAGAGCTGGCTGCAATGTTGTGGCCAACAGCTCAACTACGAACCAGTTGGTATCGGATCCACTCTCCAGCATGACGTTGGGGTAGTGAAATAAAGCCATAAACATACCTGCGTTGAACAGAGCTTCAGTCTCGCACAACTGAAAGAGTTCTGACAAACTCTAGTACACAGCTGGCTCCGGGCGAAAGCCTACATCTGAAACTGTCATGGAATAAAGATGCCCCGAAGTTCAGGAAATATATCCTTGTACCCCAGCTGCCCAGTATCATGCTCCCTGCTGTGGCCGCCGCAGCCCAAGTCGGACTTCGAGGGAGCTGCCGAGAAAGCCGCGAGACGATGGGGCGGAGGTAGTGGAAGCAAAACCTGACTGTGAAAGCTTGTAGGAAACGAGCTGCCCCCAAGCATAATCAGCGAGGCTCTATCTCAACTGACCAAAATGCGCAAAGAAAAGACAGGAAGCACGTAGAACGTGGCGTACCACTCCACCCACCGAATCCAGATCCAGCAGCCATCCAGCAGCCAGGTAACGAAAAACCTGGGCTACGTTCTCGTGTCGCACTGAGCTGCAATCACATGGCTAGCTGATTGGTGCAGACTGCCTTGCACCCTTTCGTCATCCAACCGGTAATCGGGGAGATATGGGGAGATGAGATGGGCTTTGGGACCACAGGAAGTCCCACCTTCCCTGCCGGGCGGCTTGGCGACTGGCTGCAATCCGCTTGTGCAGATGTTTCCTCCAAAGACCGGGCCTTGGACAAAAAACGAGGACTAGAACAGCCTTGAGAACAAGATCGCGAGGGAAAAAAGGGGTGGCCAAAGACAGGACATTTCATTCGTCCCGATTGAGTCTGTCGAAGACGCACGCCTAGCACAATCAAACTCGAGGTGAAACAGGGAGGCACTCAGGGAGAACGCATGCCGGACTCGTCACAAAGGAACCAAAGACAGGACGAGGCACCTGCATAGCTCCACCAGGCAGCAAGCCCCACTTGCACCCAAGGTGGGATGCAGACAAGGTCGCAGAGAACGACATAGACCTTGGCCTGCACCACCATCAAAAGATACCATCGGTGCCCGGAGGTGACCTCAGCGAGCAGTCGGGGGCGGCCGTAAGCCTTTTAAGCTCCAACGGAAGTCTACTTCCTCCATACTAAGCCTGGGAGCATCGGCCCACTCCATGTATGCCTGGTCCCAGCCAGTGGTCTTGACTTCGGAAGCATAAGCTTGCCACGTCTTCGTGGGATAAACGAAGCCGCGAGTGAGCCAGCAGCACAATTGTGGCAGGGGGAGGGCGATAAAGAGGTAGATGCCCAAGATGTAGAGGTCCATCCAGGAAAGCCGCAAGCGCTTTCGTTGCCCCATACTTTGAGGTCTGGAGTCCTGGTACGCCCCAAGCATGATGAAGCCGAAGAGATCCTGATCGTTCCCAATAGATCGGATGATGGCCTCAGACCATGGAGCCACCCGCGACGAAGCCAGTGTAGTGCAGAACGCCAAGGACTCCATCTGCGACTTGTCGTTCGGGTCGGTGGTCATGGCGCAGAGTGCATAATGGTCCAGGAGAACCCCTACCATCCAAAAAGCGTAGCAACGATGGATCACAGCATTTTCCAGGATTGCCCACTTCGACATGGACCTGGTGGCGGGCACAGGGACCCGCTCTTCTCATGCCATGTGACGTGGCGGCAAGAAATCCATAAACCCTTGTAAACCCTAGCCGTTACCCCAAACCTCTCCGAAACTGGCCAGTGCGCAACGCCCCGAGTGGGTAATTACGTGGACAATTGGAATAGACGAGATCTGAAACGACAGATTTCATGACAGGGCTGTGTGGCATTGAAGCCAAGCAGTAAAGCCCTTAAAAGATGCAGGCTGTTCTCGTTGTCTCACGGTGGCACCATGGCCTCATCTGTCCCAGGGAGTCGAGAACAGTCTGAGAAGCCTCCAGCACGTGCTCTTCGGCCATGGCTTTCCTTACAGAATGGGTGGGGTCACATGTGTAGCTCAAGCCAAGACCCTGTAATAGTGGTATAATATAGGAATATAGCAACATCAAGCCAAGTTAACCTGAAAGGATCGGTAAACCAGAAATTGCTCATCTGAAGTTGGAAAACCCATCTGCGGGACCCAGCTTGCTGCCTCCAAGCGTAAAGATTGAAATCAAGCACTCACAAGGGGAAATTCCCCGGGCATCCGCCACAGCCGACTTAGAGACAGCAGTGGCTTCTGTTTGAACCATAATTTGGTAGCCCTAACTGGTATGTAGGCCCTGGGCGGAGCTGACGGGGGGGGCAAAAAGACCAAGGGTCAGCTCGGCAAAGTTGATCTTGCCATTCGGCAGAGATGGCAGGCCTGTCGGGCCACTCTCCGTCGATCAAACCGCGGCCCCAACCTGAAACCCACGAAACCCACGGGCACTTTGGAAGGCTGGATTACCCCGAACCTGACAACCTGGAGAGCCGCATGGCTGTTTACTTCTCCTGACCTGCTCCTCCGTAACCCCAAGCCTGGGCGTCGAAAGCAGCAAAGAAATCTTGTTAAACTGGATTGATGACGGACGGCACTGCCGCTTACGGCTTATAACGCCTGCGCTGCTTACAGTAGCTTGGGAAAGGGGGAAGTTGCCTGTCTCCAATACCACGATGTGCTTTGGAAGATACGCCGGGGCCAGCGTAGCCTTGCAATGCCTGTGCAGGTCGTCAGTCTGAAGCTCCACGCCCTGCCGGCGGAGATTTCATCGGGGCTGGCGGATGGGTGGAAGTCGGACTTCGAGAAGCTCTGAGGTTCACGAGAGAGGGATGTACGGCTCTCTCTCTACAGTACCGGAGCTTGCAGGAAGCACTTGGATAAAGCATTCTAAAATGCCCGTCGATCAAGGAAACCCTTGAAAGATCCAACCCTGGAAGGCCTCGCGTGGGGACACGAAGGCGACCAGCTGTTGTGGGGAGTTTGTGGCCACAACCGCAGTGCGGGCTACAGCCCAAAGCTGCTCCTGGGCCAAGGCCCTTGAAAGGGCACGGGATTCTATTAACCTGGAATGGAACTCCACCCGAAAAACTTAAACGTGAGAACCCCTGCCAAGTTTTTGGCTTGCTGAGTTGTAGAGTTCACTGTGGTGTGCGGCTTCCATTCGGTGGCCGCGCGTTGAGCATGGCCACTTCGACTCTTGCGCAGGCTGGTCGACTGCTCGAAGCAGCATGGGATGGTGGCAAAGGAGTACACGTGGAATGCTTGCTGCCGAGGCGCATCAAGGAGCGGGTTGTTGCGCAGAGACTGCATCTCTTCATCGCCACTCTGCCACTTGCCCAAAGGCACCTTCTGGCACTGGAGCAGCAACACGGATGAAAAACACGGCTAGATTGGGCCAAGAAGGTGCCTCACGAAACTGAATAGGCAACTCCGAAAAACCCTAGAAAAAAACATACATAAGTACAGGCACTATTCTAACACATTCTTCGGCTCATTTTTCTGCTTCTTCAAATTTCTCTCCCTGCCTTCTTGGGACTCCCCGAGCGCGGCTGGGTGAACTTCAAGATGGCGGATTCCACCTCCTCCGGTTCGATGCGGACGCCATTCACCTGCCGAAACGCTTTAAGAGGAGGTCTATGATATAGGAGTTTACTTTAGAAGGGGCTAAGGGGGAGGTCTATAACACAAGGGTTTACTGTAGAAGGCTATCTACCAGGGTTCTATGTCATAGGGGCCTTACTAGCAATAGTTACAATAGGGTTCGGGCTCCTTTGGGTGTTGCTGCAACTTACTTGCTGGATCATTATATGTTTGCAGGCCTGGCCGCGTGGCTACCCCTGAGTCAGTATGACTACTGGAACTGCAAGCAGCTCTCCCATACTGCATGGCTTGAAGCCAACTCTCGACTTTGAGATAGTAACATCGTAGCTATGTGCAGCTTCCGAAACTGTAATGAGCTGGTGAGGTTCAGACTGTTTCGATACAAGGCTGCCGGCGCATCGGGGTGTGCGGGCCTCTGTCTCCTATGCGCAAGCGGTGTTGGTAATTCATAGAACGTTAAAGTTAACGCAGCTTCTGATGTCTTGAGGATGATGACCCGAAACCTGCAAGCCCGTGAACCCTCAACCCTCAAAGCGACAAGAAGCCCTTTTGAAGGAACGCTTTAAGGCTTTAAGGAGCCCTGAAGTGCTCTGGCCTTGAGCTGGCGATCAATGCGGCCAATCACTTCCAGGACTCCCTGCACTGGATCGCAGAAGCTTCTTTTCATGTCTGTTGCTAGGCTTGGGTCTTTTCAGAGTTCCTGGTTTGAGGCTGAGGTTTCATGGATGCAGCATGCTGTGGTGTTGCAAGCTTGAAGGACACTGTGTTCGGCAGTTCGAACTTACGAACTTTCCTCTGAGAACTCTGTCTGGGTTCGCGCCATCTCACCCCAGCCGCACAGACGAAGCCATGAATTTCGATGCTGAGTGGCTCAACATCCTGTGGTGAGAGGGGTCCTGCTGTGAACCCACGGCTCTGCAGCCCATCCAAAGCCATCTGCATAAACGTAGGCCAGATATCTGGAGACCATGGACTCAACTGAAACCCTTGCCCCACGCTTCACGACTAGAAGCAGAAACCTTGCATGAAATTAGCAGCCCTGAACACAACCTCACCAGATTCATGTCTCGCCTGGGTCCAACGACCCAGATCTCCAGTTGCATAGAGGCGGCCGTACTCCGTGTCGACAAACCTGAACTCGCCAACTGCGTGCCTTGTTCCTAACTTGCCTTTGGTCCAGAGTACATCTCGCTTGAAGGCCCGCTGTCGCTCCAGGCTTGGGTTTAAGAGTCGAAAAGCCCCGAACATGCAAAGCTGGTTGCCAAAGGGTAGTAACAACAGTGGACGAGAGTCAAGGTGTAGATTCAGGAAAGATCAACCTCATTAGAGATACGATCGACGAGCTGAGTAGCTTTTCTTTGTTCAGCTCAGGGAGGTGCAAATATCCGGAAGCCAATATGCCTCCGAAGCAGATCCTCAGCTGTCTTCTGGCGGCTGGGTCTCTTGATTTCGCAGCGCTTCTCTACTGATGCGGCCATCTGCCCTTACATGATGGCAGCTTTGTTCCTCTACCGATCCCACAATGATCTCGACGAGTCCGGTATGTTCCGCGCATTTTTTGCCTGTAATCTCTAGTGACCATCGTGTCTGTAGCCCCGTCGCCCTACCATGCACGCAAGGCAGAGACATCTGATCCACCCACTCCTCTCCCAACCATGTGATGCAAAGACCAGGTGATGGTGCATGTGCAAGTTGAAACACATGCTAACAGCCTCCCGTGCGCATAAGGTCCCCTTCCATTGCGCAGTACGACACCGCTTTGTCTCAAAATGTTGGGGAAACTCTGCAAATTTCTTCGTCCGACCCTTGGTGGACCACGGCAAGGTAAACAACGGAAAGTGCTTGCTTTACTGGGCCCTTGAACCAGTCTACTGCCGCATAGCTAACGTATGCATGCTAACATAAACAATCAATAAGCACTGCTAGGGCTCTCCCCAGGCGTATTGGGCGCCGCCGATCGCAGGGGCCTCTCGTCCACTGCCATCAGGTACCTAAGTGGCACGGTGCAAACCTCTTGCAGCGATATGCACAATCACAGTCTGCGAGTTTATGCTCATCATTCCGGTCATAGAAGGCCAAGCAACACGTCTGCGTATGGTTGAGGGAGCCCAGCTGGCACTCTGCTGGGAAAGAGCTGCTCGTCCACGCCCTCTGCTGGTACCTGGCAACAGGACGCTCCTTGCTTTCCAGGGGCAGAAATGCGCATTTCTGGCATCTCTGACTTGACGGGGACGAAGGGAGTCAAATTAAGGCGTGAATACCGTCTTCAAGCTTGAACTCTGCAGGATGTGATTGGAGCACTTGAACGGCGCTCGGTTCATAAAGTGGACTCTGGCGAAGGCAGTGCTTTGCTCATGATTGAGGTCAATGCAAAAGAGACCTATGTCTCCAGGCTCTGCAGCTCAACCCTACAAGATACAACATGCAAACTTGCTGCGAAAGGTCTCTTTGCAATCGGAAATGTTACAGAAGAAGCGGAGCCTTGTAGATGGTGCAGGAGCTCTCTGACGCTCCGTAGAAGTTGCCTCAGAGCCGGTTCCCGGCTTAGCAGCTTCCCTCTCTGGTGCAGAAATCCTCTAATGACCCAACAACTCAAAAGCCCAGAGGCCTCCGATCTCCGAAGTTACCTGCAAGTCCCTGCTATGTGAAGAACCAGGGAGCGGATTGTGGCTTTGAGGTGTGGCATAGAGACTGCACGGTTGGCCAAAGCTGTGGGCAATGGCTCACCCACAGTGGTGATGTGCTGGAGGGAGCTGAGTAGCCGATCCTTCGCATGAAGCTGATGTACATCGAGGAGAAGGTCAAGAACCGATGGAGTGATCATCAAGACGCTCACGCTGTGCTGATGGACCACCCGGGCCATGTAGTCTGGGCTCTTGTGTCCATCGCTACTGGCAACAACGAGAGAGCCGCCCCGGAGCAATGCCGGAAAGAACTCCCACTCCATGACTGCCCAAAAGTAAGGCGACTTCAACAGCTGCACTGTGCGCTCTGTAACCCCGTGCTCTTCCGCCCAGAACCATGCCCCGTGAAGGAGATGCCGATGGTCGTAGATGATGCCTTTCGGTGCCCCTGTGCTGCCGGAGGTGTAGATCAACATGGCAGCTTCTGAGGTCGGCGGTCGTGTCCGCTGCTGCGGTCCCTTCGTTGTGGCCGTGGGCTTCGCACCGACCAGGCTGAAAAACAAGGACGACGCCTCGGTGCCGGCGAGAAGCAAAGGGATGCCAGCGCTCTGCGCTTGTGGTCTAAAGCGCTCGGAGTCGGCAAGGAGCACCCTTGCCTGGCTGTGCTGCAACAGCACAGCGACCCGGTTTTCAGGAGCTGCTGCATCGATTGGCAAGTAGCCCCCACCGCTGGCAAGGACCCCTAAGACTGCCACAACCTGAGCACAGCTTCGCTCCATGCAGAGCGCAGCAATGCGCCCCGGCTCGAGGCCCAGATCCTGCAAGGCCTCTGCAAGCTGCAAAACTGCTGCTTGCAGCTGCGCATACGTGATCTGGATGTTCGCAGGGGAGGGGGCGATCAATGCCGTGGCCTCAGCTCTTGCTTCAGCTCTTTGCAAGATCAGCTCGTGGATGAGTTGACTTTCCGGATAGCGCGGCCGCGGTCCCGAAGCTGAACATTCCCGTGTCAGGTTCCCGAGCTCTGCGTCGGGTGGGCCTTTGGGCAGAATCCTCCTTTGCTTCGGCCCCGTGCAAAAGTGCACAGATGCAGTGACACCAAGCCAGCAGGCTGAATACAGAAGGAAGAAAGCCACCTTGTGCGAGAGCGTCCAGGCTCCGTTCGGGTTCCGGTAGTCTGGCAGGTACGGCCAACCAAGTTGGGCTATCTGCTCCTCGGACTTAAAGGTGAAGTTCTCTGCATAGATGCAGTGTACTGAAGCTACGCTCAACAGTAGGTGGGGCCATGGCGCCATCGGCTGGAGCGAAGAGCTTAACAACGCCCGATCGAAACGGTTGAAATCGGAGTGTGGGGGCATGACAAACTTTGGCCGGAGTTGAGGCAATAACATGTAGGTGTCCAGCTTCTTTCGGAAGGCCGTGATTGTCTTGACGACTCGATAAGGATTTCTCAAGGATTGTTCTGCAGTGTCCCTCGCATGCATAGAGATAATATATTGCCTGAGAACACGCTTTCTCCGTTGAAATTTTATCATGTTGCACTGTTGTGTCCTGCGTGCAAGCCTCTGCAGCTTGGTGCGGCCGAGTGTGCATCGACACATTCACTGCACTCTATGCAACCCATCACCCAGGGCAACCATTCCGCATACTCAATCGCAGCTGTCTACAAGACATCCGGTGAAACTAAAGCAGGGGACAGTCTGCTCTGGACGACCTGCCTTCATGCTGAAATTTCGATTAATGACTTCGCAAAGCTGCAGCCCGAAATCAGAAAACCGAGGAGAGGTCCGAATCCCATCATGAGACCTTCTCAACTCCATAGTTTTCAATGGCCAATTTGCATCGCCCAAGCATTTCGGATCTTGTGTGTCTTCCGAAGGAAATACGTCGAATGCAGCGGAAGCCAGGAACCCAAAGAGCAGGACTACGCTTGCTTCAGTCGGAACTCGCAAAGGAGGCTGCGTGGTGCAGATAGCGGCCCAGGGGAGTGTTGCCTTGGTCCGACGTCAGCTTTCACCGAGGCCGGCTCCGTTCAGGGTTTTGGGGTTAGTCTACCTGCCTTCACTGCCCCACCATAGCGTCGAGCAGCTGAACTGCAGCTTGAACTGGTGGGAGGCATGTGTCACGGTCACCAAGGCATCTTCACCTGGTGCCATCAATCTGAGTTGATGTGTGGGGGGGTCAGCTTGACTAAAGACGATCCAGCGACCAACAAACCGACCCGAAGGCAACTAGAACTAGACACGGCGTGTTCTCAGAGACCACAACATGCCCATATGTCGACACCCACACACACACATGCCGGCATAGTTGTAACGCTGTGTGCAGATGTCTGTGGGCGTGTGCGAACATGTATGCGCATGGCAACATGGGCTCCAAGAAACTGGAACCATGTCACAACACGCAGCTGGTCAAATTCTGTGCCTTAAAGCACATTCCGCATACTATGGTTAATATCACTATTATCGTTACTATTGCTATTACTATTACTACTGCCATACCTCTAGCTGGTACAGAAGCCGAGACCTGGCAAAGAAGCGCAGTCCCGAATCCTGACCCGGAGCACCAAAGCCTCTTGAACTTGCTAGAGGTATGGTAGTAATGGTAAAAATGATAACAAAAAGAGTAATAATCACAATGATAATGGTGGTCATAGTGATAATGGTAATAGTAATATTAACAGCCGCTTGCTTCGGCTCTCTTCGTTGTTTAGGGTTCATAAAGAGAGCCCTTATAGATCCCTTACAGGAACCCGTATAGATCCTCATTATGGTAACTATTATATAAGTTAATTCTAGGCGCAACATGATAACATGGAGATGCAGGAAACCGATCCTTCCCTGCTTACGATTCCAAGTATAGAGGCCCAAACAATCCTTTACAGCTCCGGTGGAGGAAGCTGGCCACCACTTCTCCCACTCCAGTTGCTCATCTGCTCCCTGAAAACTTCTCTGAATTTTGAATTCCTTGTGCGTGCAAACACAATCCGATCAACCTGGCATCCCCACATCGAAGCAAGCCTTCTTCCTCTTCGTCGCTTCTGTCGGCCGCGTCTTCGTCACCGAGCATGACGCGCGTCAGCAACTTGACGGCCAGGACGCCCCAGGGCTGCGTAGGCGAGCGGACAGTTTCCAACGGCGTCTACAAAGCTTCGGTTCGTTATGCCTTTGAGGTCACATGCCTGCTTAGAGGGCATCGGTCGGTTCGGGTAAAGAAGGTCTTGCAGAGAGCCCAGACGGCTTTGCAAAGCATCGGGGTCTCGTTGACACTTTGAGACTCCTCACCTCACTGGGTCGTGCCTTCACGAGTTACCTAAGGTGGGATCCAGGTGCCTCCTATGCGTGGCGTGCAGCGTTTCGACATCATGCTGGTGCAAGCAACATGCTTCTGTGCAGAGTGTCGCCAGGGTCGCCCTGAAACTGCCCGGCCTTCGTTGGCCCCTGTTGATAGCGCGTCATGCACACCCGCGCCGCGTCCACCATGCTCTGGGGCACCTGATGCGGGTTGAAGCTCTTCTCAAGATTCGAAGCTTCTTTTGTTTCTGGCACGCATGGCATGGGTGATGCCCTTCATGCTAGAAACGTGACTTTGTGTTTTTGACCTGGGTGTTGCAAGAAGGCTCAGGAGCACGGCATGTACAATCACACTCTCACAAACCATTTGCAATTTACAGGCGCAGGTAGGACAAATGCGATTCGGAGTGAATGTCAGAAGAAGTCTTACTGAAGAGCCACAGCTGCAACATCAACTCTTATCTTGGCGCTGCAGTCCGAGGCACATGTTCACCGAGAAGATACGCGGTGGACATGCGGACGACCAGGAGGAGGTACACAAAGTCTGTTCAGGCAGCAGGGTCGAGTTGGTTGCGAATCTGTTGGGATTAGCCTTCCATGTCTCACGAAGCGGCTGAAGAAACGAAGACCCCAATAAATTTTCTGCCCTATGCCCAGGGACCATCCACGAGCTTTAGCTCTGCATCTGCGCGGCCGCGGAAGAGTTTGGATGCTGATCCTGGCGGAGGCTGAGGATTCAGAGGCATCTGCCCGGACCATTGCCGGGAATGGAGGGCCTGAGTCAGAAACCCGGAGAATCAAGTCTGGAGTCTGGAGTCTAGCTTTGCAGAGTTCGAACCGTACTTCTGGATGGAGCATAGCATTCATGTCGTTTCGAGTACATATTGTGTTCTGATCCACAGCGGAGGGGTCTAGCACAACCATATCCAGCACAGGAAACAAATCATGGCCAAGAATGACCAGTTCGTCAGCACGAATTACCAAGGACATGTAGGCCACAGTCTCGGACTCCAACACTCCAAGATCTGATGCAAAAGTCTCGACGAACGGGGTTGAGTGCTGGAGCTTGCAGCGTGCCTGCCGAGCGCCAGATGCCACCATGGCCCGCTCCCCACTGCGAAGCAGGATCGAGGTGATCCTTGCTGGGCTGCTGGGGGATCTGGAACTACGTTCCAAGGAGATCTCAGCAAGCTGGGGTGATTCAGGAATTCAGCGAAGCATCGTAGACCTCTAAAATGCCCCCCTTCCTCACGTCGATGGCACGAACCTGAAGAACTCAGCTGAGCTTCGTTCATGTTTGGACGGTTGTGGCGGCTGCGCTTCGAGTTCGGCGGTTGGCGTGATGCTTCAGGCTTAAACTTGTGTCGGAATCTCTGGCCATGAAACCGTTCAGAAGAGAGGCCAAACAGTCTGGCCTCGCTTGAGCTCTGAGTCCGGCACCAAGCCATCGGTGACCTCCCAGGCCAACGCGAAGTCATCGGTCTGAGTCGGGGCCACGGCCCCCGAAGCTCGCACCGTCCTAATCGAGCGCAAGCTGGCGAGCATGGAGGAATATGGAGGAAGACGGCTGTGCAACCCCTCATCTCCAAACAGTTCCGAGTCTCCGGTTGCTGTTGCCGGATCTCAGTCTTGCCAGACCCTCCTCGCTGGACGCGTCCCAGATCTCAAATCCTGGGCAACAGCCAGGGCTCTTCTTGATCTGTGCAAGCCTTGCGCCTTTCCCGAAACATAGGAACGATCATTTAAGGCTGATGGATGATCTCGACTTCAACCCACCAAGTCAAATATCATATGTCATGCCAACTTGAGCCTTCAAGCTTGCAAGTGGGTGAGCACTATACCGAAGCTGGACCTACAAGCAATGCCGCCATTGTGGACCTGCACCTGCTGTTAAGACCGTTTGCTGTCACCAAGGCGCTGATGATGTAGTAAAGGAAAGGCAGCAGATTCCACGCAATGCATCGTCCTCCTTGTTGCCACACAGGGCCATGCCATCCTGAACGCGAATTTCGTTCAGCCCGGCACACTTGCATCGGCAAAGATCTTTCGAATCTTTGGGGGGGGGGGGGTGTACACTTAGATACACTTAGCAGTGACACCTGGTGCACCCACCAAACTCTTGGAGATGCCCATGGAGGTCTAACGCCCCGAAACGGAAGCCCGTTCTACTCGCAACTGCGTGGTGCTCATCCGGAAACGTAGTCGCGTCTTCAACACTAGAAACAATATATAGCTCACAGTTCGGAGACAACCACGGCGATTCAGTGCTGTCAAGGAGGAGCAACAGAAGCAGAGCACATCATAGGGCTCTTCGGGGACGTCTTGAACGAATCAGAAGAAGCTTGAATTTTGAGTTGAATTGGGACCAGTACTTAGGTAAGACTCTGGCATGTCTCACGGCGCACCAAATCGAAAACCCTACTGCACAGGCCTCTGGCCCGCCAAGCAGGTTTCTGCATGTCAGAGACATCCACTACCGCATCGAAGGGAAGCCGCACTTGCAGCATCGGATACTGGCCTTATTTGTGGAGACTCGCTTTCTTTCAGTCGACGTGCATGTAACAATCGGACGCTGCGCATGGGTTCAGCTCCCACCCACTTCTGCAAGCCCTTTAATTTTCTCGGATGTTCCTGTTGCACACCCTCAGCGTGGACAAAGCATTGTGTACGCCTGGTTTAGTCTTGAAGACGGGCGCAGGCTGATATGTGCTGCTCGACGTCCAACCCAATACCCTCGAGAACCCACTGCCCATCCAGATGGCCTGGGGGTCGAACTGAAAAGAGACGATGCAGGTGGAATCAAGCCCGATGCAATCAGCTACGGGCTATTGCATTCGCTAGGATTTCGCTAGGGCAACGTCTAGCTAGTCACATTCGCTGGGCTCCCAGCCTATGAAGATGTCCTCGCTTTCCCAGTGGCCTGCGCAAAGGCTCACTGATTAGGTACGCAAAGGGTGCTTGCACACGCAGGAGCAGCTTGTTCCCATGAAGTCTCTGCCTGGACCCTGAACCCTAAACCTTGTAGAGGAGCCCTGCTATGAGCAAAGCTCTGCTGATTTCGCTGCAGTGGCCTGGTCCCAGTCGCTGCAGTGGAACCTTAACCTGTGCCCCAAGACACGGTAATGCTTTTGTTCATGCATGAAGCAGGCTGCAGATCTTTAGCATCCGACAATCGCCCCGTGGCTTTGACATAGACTTCGGCTAACCAAAAGGTACAAGCCCTACCCCAATCTGATCAACATTATGGGACCCCCCCAGGAGGTGACTGTAGACAAACGCGTGCTCCCACGCAAACACCTTTTTTTGCCAACGTGGAAATCTTAACAATCCCTTTCAGGCAAACCATCGTTACCAAACACCAAAACATCTTCCAAGTCGGCAAACGGGATGGGTAATTAATGAATCGAGCTTGCTGCCGCGAGTATCATCAGCATCATGGCTCCGTGGCTTCGCAGGCGAGCCTTCCTCAAAACAAGCATGCCCCAGCATCAGAAGCATCATCCGCCCGCTCTTTCTAACCAGAGCTTGAAGGCAGCTGCATCAGCAGCATCAGCCAGCTGTTTTGTTGGAGAAATTGATGGTGATGCCGCGTCAGGCCCGAACATCATCAGCATCATCGCTCCGCGTCTTCGTAGGGGAGCCTTCGGCAAAGCAAGCCGGCGACAGCATCAGCAGCATCATCCGCCCACTCTTTTCTTTGGACTTTGCAAGTGCATCTTGGCTTTTTCCTGGAAATGTGGGTGCCAACATGAGCAGCATCAGCGTCAGTATGCCTCCGTACACCACGCTGATTCCAGCCGGCTAGATTTGGGGGTTTCCGAGAAGGGGGGACCCTAACGTCGCCTAAATCGTAGGATCCTTAAAAACAGGGACCCCAAAACCCCTCATTTTGGGAAACTCCCACTTAGCAAACAGCGACTACTAGTAGGAGACGCATCTCGCTCATCGGTCGAGGGTGGCGCAGATCATATAACATTGGGTGCGTTTTTGGCAGCAAGACCAAGATTAGGATCCATGAATAATAAGTTTGTTTTTCAACTCTCATGCCTTTTGCCTCAGGGACGAGTCTGCACTATCATGAATAGGGTGTAGGGTTTAGGGTAGCCAGTAACCGTGGGCGAATGCACGATAAGCAGACTTAGAATTTGAGGTTTGGGCGGCGACAGCCTGGTGATGGTTGGTGAAGTCCTCGTCGAACTCGCAGAGTTCCAAGGCCTGGGTCTCCATGAGCTCGATGCTAACGCCCTGCGACAGGAGCATCATCCACAAAGCGGGAACAACTAGTTGGTCCTGCAGGCCGATACGGTGCGACAGACTACCGGAGCGATCTTAATCTCGTACCTGGCCGTAATCCCGGTACCTCCGCCTCTGCCGACAGCGCCGCGGCCGCAGGTGCCGGCGGTGCCGGACCTTCAGGCAGATAGCACCTGACGAGAGGAAAAAATAGGAGGCAATGGCGATCCTATGCAAGTGTAGCGCCGAGGGGCTCGACGAACTGCCAAGCTTTTACCTGAAGCGATTTCCGATGCAAAGGTAGGGGGGGAAACAACTGAGAAAGCATATCTTTGGAGCTGATCAGTCTGCAACAACGACGGACCGTGATAACTAATCCCTCCTCAATCCCAGCAGTTGACATGCAGAGTCCGCAGCATTCAGCACTCTTTAGACGAGCCCGGGTCTCGAGTACACCTGCGCCCATATGTGACAGTTCAGGCTAAATCCCCCGAAGGCTGCAGGCACGCATGCTTGCCGCGATACGGCGCCGTACGACCAGTTGCTGCCGGTTCTGTTCTCCACATTGCTGAGGCAGCCTGCTTGGTGGCCCCCTCTCGCGAACCAGCCGCTGCCTCGATTAAAAACTGTGTCGCAGTCTACGTGAGCTCTGAGCTTCAAGGGGGAACACTCCGTCTCTAGATGTCCTCCACTACCTGGCATAGGCTATAGGCAACGTGGGGCAACGAGAGTCTTACAGCGCTCGTGCCAAGCCCCAAAGCCTCAGTTCAAGAGAGCGGCAACCATCGGCCACCCAGATATACTCAGAGTTTGAGCACCTGAAGGCAAAATCCGTATCCACTGTTCAGGAAGATGGTGACAACGAGCAGACAGAGCGCCTACTTTTCACCCGAGGCAAGGACAAACAAAGATAGAGGCTACTCGAGACACAGCAATTCTTGGAGATGAAGCCCCAAAACTCTAAACCCTAAACCGTGAACTTGTGTAATGCTATTGCTTATGGCGGATTTGAGCCACAAAGTGATGACCACACGGCCGGTGTCACTCCATAATATCATAAGGACCCTTGGGGAGGGGAGGGAGGGGGTAGGGGACTTGGCCTTGTCAAGTCCTTATTATAGGCATTACGGCTCCCTACCCCCCTCCCCGCTACACCTCCTGAGGGTCCCTTCCCTATAATAATATCTCCCGATCGAAAATCCCCAAGCCCCGAAAGATCTGCTTCATGAGCCTTGTGCCACGAACAACTTGCATCGCCAGCTTCTGTAAACTCGAAACCCATCTGAACCCAGAAGCCCTGAACCCTCTCACTTCAGCCCCTTTAGCCCGGCACCCGAAAGTCAGCCCCAGGCGGCAGCGAGAGGCTTGTGCAGCAAACCTGGAGCCAAACCGTGCTCTCATAGGCTTTGGCGCCTTTTGGGGTTAGGGCTTAGTACGGGTTTTTTTGGCTTTACGAAGGATACGGCTTGCAAGAAGGTAGAACACGATTCGCAGAGGGCTCCCGAGGCTGCGATCCGTAGATGTGCAGAGTGCAGATGCTCCTAAGATAAATTTGGAAGTGAACAGTTAAGACAAACTTAACAGTATCGATGCATCAGGAGAGCGAGCTGGACGACGCACGTATTGGGGATGATTAAAAGGTCCATCTTCCAAGCCAGACAAGCATCTTTCGGAAATTCATAACCAGCACCTTCCCATTCCTATTCGGCCCCGTCAAAGAACGTGCAACAAGGGTCCAACACCTCGAACCATCTCGAGAAGCCTCAAGGCTACAGAGCAGTCCATGGGCTTTGCGAAGAGGAAGCCAGTTTGCCTGAGCGGAGAAGACGCGAGGCTAGAGCTCGGGAACCGCAGACTCGGAAAGGTCAGTGGATGTACAACCTGGAGCTCATGTTGACCAGGTTGCTTCCAAGCCTACTTGTCCGCTTGCACCAAGCGAAACTGAAAACAGCAGCCACGCATCAGAAGACAGTCTTGTACCGAAACCCTGAACAAGCCACCAAGCCAGAAATACAAACGTAACGTGTGTGCGTGAGTTGGCCTTACTTACAGTCTGGTCACATGTGGCTCCCTGACTCTCCGCTTTGAATAAAATGAAAACCGAGTTCCTGGCCTTCGGCTGTGCATCTTTGCGCGTCGAAAGACCTATGCCACAGCCAGGACAAGTAAACGTAAAAGCGTAGATCTAGGACTGCCAGGATCTTCGATAATTACAGTAAGATTTTGGTGATAACAGTGGAGACAGAAAGGGATACTATCGCTCATTGTTTAGTCAGACCCCCATATTCAACTACGGGCTTCGGATGCAGCAAGGCAGCCCTGACGGAGAAGACTTCGTGGACCCTGGCGACAGCAAACATCGTTGTCTCCGACAGACTGTGAAGCCCTACACGTCCCACCACGACCGTGAAGTGGATGCAACCTGATAGAGGCAGTGAGCCGGAGAGGGACGCAACTCAAAGCACGGGCAAGGAGCCACTGCGCACGCTGACCTTCAGGTATCTCACTTAGCAGTGGCCAGCAAAGCCGTTGCGGCTGAAACCGAGAACGCGAGTGATGATTCGATGATGGTTCGTCGCAGGTGGCCTTGAGGAGCCTCACGCTCGAAACATCTCGAAACTTCATGTCAAACATTCGATATGCACTCGTTCAGTGCGCGCGGGATCGCGCATGTGTGCTTTTGAAGGTGACCCTAACTGCCTTAGCTGTTGCAGTAGCTGCACTTGCTCCTGGTTGAAGGTTTGGATCATCAGGGCGGGGCTGTCCCAATACGTGAATCTCGGATTTCTGCTTGCATGGCTACTCGGGTTCTCTCATCCCTTGACCGTGACTAAGTCAGCATCCTGCGCCTTTCCAATGACGGTGGCAATGGATCATTTGCATGCTCGTGGTGTCGAAGCAGCACGCTGGTATGATCCAAATCCTAACTACGCCTGATCTCGTTGCCTTACATGTGACCGGCAGCCAGGAGTGCACCGATTCCAGTGCACATACATCTCTGAAGCAAGCCGAGGCCACCCGCGGAGAGCTGCCCAGGGGAGCAGTAGATCTTCAACATGCCTTTTTGGGATCGGATGTTGGGTTTCCGATACACCACATGGGAATGAAGAACGAGAAATGCTGGGAGTTGCGAGGACAAGCGTGGGACGCTTATCGGCCGAATTCTGCGAGACCCAAGTTCAAACAAGCTTGCGAAACTCTCCGCGAGTAACAACTCCTACGATGTAGGCCAGACCGACCGACATTTGGTATTACCGGGTTGGATAAAATTTCTTCTTTGCTAACAATCAGCATGATGATCATTAACATCGGCAGAACAAAGACAGTTAGCTACTGGTATCGTCGTTACCAGCACCATCATCGTCGCCATCATCTGCACCAGCAGCACCGACATCGACATCATCATCAGCATCATCATCATCATCGTTGTCATCATCAACACGGGCATCAGAACAAGAATCCGTTGTCACTCTACCCTGGGGACCGGGTCCCGAACCTGTCGCGAAAAAAACCTCTGGAGGCAAGCAATACATCGAGCTCCCTGGCAATGTGCTCGGGCTCAGAAATCACCACACCTGCCATGACCAACTCGAGCTCAAGCGTCTGACACATTCGTTGGAAGTGTTGCATTTGATGTTAACCAATCTGGATGACCAACAAACACCGGCAAGAGTTGACAATGCTTCCTAGCTTTGCCCACCTTCGGACGCGACTGCATCCAGGTTTGCAGCAAGTTGCTGATGACCTGTCCAGTTTTGGCAACATCAAGGCAAGTGTAATAAGAGAGCATCTGATCCTGAACTAGATTGGAAGATGGATACTATAACGAACTATTGCGACCTATCTAGTACAAACTTGTTCACAGGGTCGGATCGCAGAAGCTGCCTTGTGCAGGAATGTGACTCGCCACATCCAGCAGAACAGCCTTGAGGTAGGAAGCCAATGCAAGTTACCGAGATCTTCGGTTCTATCTTACAGGTTCCCTGACTCTGAGGCCTTGCTGAAGTCAAAGAGATTTTCGGTTCTAGAATTAACTCGGGGTTGTACTCTATAAGGTTCCCGACGACTCAAAAAGGTATGAAGCACTACCAGAAAACTCTGCAAGGAAGATTCCGGAACCCATAACGCCTAGAGATAATCACAACCATAATCACAGAAATAACAAACAAGACTTAGAACATGCACATTAATATTATACTTCACTGAACCTCTCCGGGGAGCCCAGTCTGCACGGCCGCCCCAGGCCAGGCGACGCTGGTCACTGGAATTCCGACGCGCCAAGTAGAGTACGTCGTCAGCTCGAACCCTGCCCCCAGAGACTCCAAGATCCCTTTGATTGAGGAATATGCCTAGGGCTCTTTTCAAGGATCTATAAGGGATCTATAGGGTTTAGGGTTTAGGGCTTAGGGGGCTCCAATATCCCTCTAATAAAGGAATATTACAAGGATTTACCATACGGACCTCAATAATGACCCAAGAATTTACTGTAGGGGCCTCAATAATGACCAATACAATTTTTTTGGGCTCCTTACTTGCAATTGTAGTAGAACATACACCCAAGCCCTGTTCCAATCATCAAGGCCCTTTCATTACCTGGGATTCTACACACCATGTGTCCGAGGAACTTCGTGAAGGAATTGCTTTCGGTGATGTTTGCCCTACCAAGTGCGCGATGCAGCTGGAACGACGGTGATTGGCGAGGCAGCAAGCGGACAGAATGCAGCTCTACTCCCAATGTTAGGATGCTGCACCACGTTTCAATCATGAATCGTCGTGTGATTCCGCTATAAACAGCAACAAGAAGGTGCCGGTTTGGGCCAGGCGGCTCCAATGCCTGCTCGAAGCTCACTGGTGCGAGCCCCAGACCTCTGCTCCGGTCCAATCAACTTCTATAGGGGCCTAAATAGTTACCAATACTATTTGTTTTTCTTTTTGGGGGGGGTCCTGATTGTAATTATCGTATAAGGGGGCCCAAAACCCTATTCTAGTTCTTAAGGCCCCTGTATTACTGCTTTCCGAGTTTGCTACGTCGCATGCAGATCCCTTGAAGAGACGTCTGGGGTGTTGAGAACAAAGCAGACACTTGAACAAGCTTGAGGGCATTGTATAATGCTCATCAGCCGGTCCGCTAGCGTGGATGCCACGCCCGTTTGGGCACACCTGACAAGAGAGGAAGAAGAGGGGAAAAGAGAGAGAGAGAGAGAGAGAGAGAGAGCGAGAGAGAGACACACACGTCTGCATGTATGTACATTGTATCTCTACCTATATATGTACATACATGTATATATATATATATGGGAAAAATAGTGTGGTAACCCCCATATACATGATTTTGTAGTTTCAGCCTCATGCTATAGGGCTGAACAACGTAGAACTTCAATACCTGCAGCAAGCCACTGGTGCTACTGTTGGTTCCTGCACGACCGCAGGGGACTGTAGATGGGGCATCAACATCAACAACTAGCATCCGAAGCTGCCTGCTGACTGTGGCTTTCTGAGATGACGGAGAGAGAATTCCAGGTGCTCGGTTGGACGATTTTTGGGCGCTGCATGGCGGAAGGGATACGTCCTACCTTCCTCCTCTGGAGAAGTCTATCGCAGCTCAAAGCAAGCAGAAACCCCCCGTTGGTTGAGACATGTTTCTGATACACAAGCCAGCGCACTGCGTCTGGAAGCAGCAGTTCAGCACCCTCCTCGGCAAAGCAGCAATGACTAGGTCACGATCAGGTCAGCAAACCGACTTCTGTTGGACCCCTTGTGTTGTGTACCATCAAGGCGGAAATCGCGAAAGTACATGCCGCCTCCGCACAGCTTTCTGCTAAGTCTCAGGAAAACTTCGTGCATTCCCAAGCCTTCCGCCTGCGCCACCTTAGTTGCCAGAAAACGAAAGGCGCAAGGTCGCAGTCTTGACCCAACACGCACCACGTCGTGCAAGCAGCGGCGCACAGCAACCCTAAGTCCGTAAAGCCTAACCCCTAAACCTAAACCCTAAACCCTCCCAAACACCTAAACCTAAACCCTAAAACTGTACTCTCCCATCCGAGCGGCCTCGACCAGCCGGGCCAGATCCCTGTCACGCCGGAAGGTGCAGGCGCGGGTCGAGGAGAAGCTCCTCTAGCCAACCCTAACATAGTACCCTAAATAATAGGATCCTTATTATAAGGACCCCAAATTGAGGTACGCCCTGATCTTCGGAAACTTTCATAGTGGGTTTCGTAAACCCAGGTCGGTGGAAGAGCTTACGTTTGGAGTTACGTCATAGGGGTAGTTGTCAAGATTAGGGTCCCTTGTTGGACACCTAAATACTAGGTGCCGTATTATATTAGGGACCCCCAAAGGGACCATGATTCTGACCACCACCCATATCTTAATATACGACGGTTATGTTATGTTGAACTGTATTATACTCTAATACTAGCGTACATATTACTTTGTGATGATATGCTGTGTTTCACATTCAGAGGCTGCAAGAACACGATGCTGGGGAGTCTTCTCTACCTTTGACCCGCAGCCCAGCCCTTTAGTCGTAGCTGGCGAAGTGTTTGCATCAAGATTCCAAGACTCCACGAGGTTTGAGCCACGCCACGAGCCACTAGGTGACATTCAATCGTGCAAGCTATTCTCTTGACTACTGCTTCGACGCTTGAATCTGGAAGGGATCCTGGGATTCATGGGCTGAGTCAGGTCAAGCTCCAAGATGTCATTGCCCAGAACCGGCCGAAGTCCTCGCGAGAAGAAGCTTTCTCCCAAGAGCTTCTTGCAACGTCACTTGCGCAAGATGCCGTGTCGGCCGGGCATCTGCTTGGCCATGCTTCCACTCTAGTGCTCATGACACGGGGGAGGGGCAGACTAGGACAAGGCCATGCTGACTGTTTCCCGAAGCCTAGCAAACAGTTGCACCCAAAGTAGCTGATAGGCTAGGCCAGGCCTCGACTCGACCCAGATTCTACGACTGCAACACAACACATGAGCACAAAGCATTACGACCGCTCCTTTTGGGATTTGCTGCAATGCTGCTCCAGTTGCAGGCAAAGGCTCCTGGCATCTTGTCGACCCCAACGATGCTAGTTGGGTGGTACCTTGCAGTGATCAATTTTGCTTCAACGATGGCCGCCTCGAGGAGAAACGCTGATGACTGTGATGGTTTATGATGATGACCGTGATGATGCTACGATTATGCTCCAATGCTGTAACCTTCCGAACAGCAAAGTTTACTGGTCTGAGACTGTAATATACACTGTACAACGTACGATGCCGTACTACCCCTACCCTATAATGGGCTATATACTGGGTATATAATAACTATACTAAGGGTACCTAGGGGTCCCCCATTAAGGGTCCCTCCTTTTCTGCACCCCCCGCCACGCCGGGCCGGGGCCCACACGCCCAGCATGCAGAGGGGAAGCATGATGAGAATCTGGTGTTGATGCTGATGATGTTGATGTGGATGTTAATGGTGGTCAAGAAAAGGATGCTGCCGAAGATGGTTATGGCGACAACAACGACGGGTTGTGACAACGATGATGGGATGACTTCTCAATCTCCCTGACTTTCAGTCCCTGGTCACGGGTGCTTTACTGCTCTCGGGTTTCTGCTTGCGCGAACCATTGCTGCTGTTGTCGTTGTTGCGGCTCTTGTTGTTGTAGGTGCTGTGATTGCTGTGGCGACAATTATGTTGTTCGGAACGATGAACGATGATGGTGATGGTGGTCATGATAATGATGGCGATGATGGTGATGATGAGGGGTATTGAGGGGTTGAGGGGAGATTGGCGCAGAACAATCTTATGGCGACCCTGATGCTTGTGGTGTTGGTGGTGATAGCCGCCGACCGGCATGTGGAGCCAAGCCGCTGGAGCCACCGTTCTATCATCAATCCCCGGCCGCAGCCCAAGTCCATCCTCAAGGCTTCAAGCTGAAGGGAGCACTATAACAGTGCAGGATTAGGGATGGCTACGGAGCTTCCCCAAAACCGCTGCTCAAAGTGAAAAAACATCAAGCTGAAGCCGACCGTAGGGGACCTACGCCAAACATGTCCACTGCTTGCCGCTCCCACAACAGGAGACAGGTCGTGGTCAAGATTTTCCCGTGCTGCCCCGATAACTTGTGACCTTTGCTCTGTTCATGGAGTCCTAGCTTATGGCCTATATGACAAACGATCGCGGCAAGGGTTTCGGGGCGCTGCGCGGACAGTTTGACATTAAGGTTTCAAAGTAATCCTGCAGCATAACGAGCCGCCAACCTGTAAGCCTCATCCCAAAATATCCCAAACTCGAAACAAGAACATAGGGGCCTTAATAATTAGTGTAGGGTTTTGGAGTCTATTATCCTATGATTATATTGCAGTAAGGAACCCCAAAGTAGTAGAGGCAACTACGAAGGCCTCCAAATTACTCCACATCTGCTGTCGCAGTCCCGTGCAGGCAACTTGCAGCCGCGCAGCACTTTCATAGGGCGGCCAACTCGAACAAACTCTGCAAACCAGAGATGAACGAGCCTGGGCAAGCTGCGGCTTGTATGAGGTCTCAGGGGACACGTTGGCTATGGCACAAGAGCGACAGTAGCGGTCATGACATGAGGTCTGCACTGCTTGAAGCCTGCAAGCTTCAAGACCCCGCCCTGGCTGTGCAAGGCCAGCAAACGTTGAACCCGAGAAGCTCAGATGCAGAAACCGACAAGACAGATGGCCCAATCCCAGAAATCCTTCTTGCCGTGGAGGTGCCGCGCGCTCAGGAGTGGATCGAACTTGAAGAAGCCGGAAAGGGTGAGGTAAGGGAAAGCCGACCTAGGTTTTTTTGGAGTTCAGACAGTGGGCTTCGGAGTGTCGGGCTCTTAGGCCTGAGGCCTCCCACGGTGGTGCTTCTGTGCAAGCAGTCTTCTGACGGTGAGGGATGTTCGAGTACATGCCCCCACCCGACCAGGCAGACCACTCCTATGGATTCTGTAGATACCGGTCTAAAAAATGCTTGCAACCCAGCGGCCACTTTGTGTCTAGCAGGTATCCATTCGGATGCGAGGGCGCGGTACGCCTGCAGTTGTCCTTCGACTTTCCATGGTTCAGAACAACAGTGTACAACACATCAATTCAACGTGGGAGATAGGTATGGTCGTCATCCAGTAAACAGAAAGAGGCCTAGGCCTACTGAAGAGTTGCTGCAGCGAATCTCGGCGCCACCTTTCTGATGCTATCGTTTGCTAAACTTCTGCCAGGTTGAATGTCTGGCGTATCAGCCCGCTGGCTTTTGTTCATGCACAGCCACAGCACCTGCCTCCTGTGATGGAATACAGTAAACGTAGTGCACATCATCCCAACCGAAGGTTCACTCGAAGAACCGAGGACACCACACCACGCCAGGTTGACCACGCCACACACGCATTCCCACACGTCATTAACCTCGTCAGGCCCTCATGACGTTTCCCAATCCTCGCGCTCCAGAAGGGGATCAGTGGACTTCCGCGCAAGCCTCTGCTGCAAGGATTCGTGGCAAAAAGCAGAAATGAAGCTTCAACCATTGGCCGCAAAGGCTGGCATGTCGTGAAGTCCGTACTATGTGCACCGATACCAGAACCTGGAAAGCAACTGTGCGTACATGAGAAATCCATCCACAGAAGTACAAGTTCGGACCTACGAGTATGACCCCCATCCATTTGCGCACAATGCCACCAAGCCACAAGTTGAAGCAGATGTCCAGATGCTGTCTGGCCAGAATGCCCCCCTTCAAGAGAGCTACCTGCTGGCGAAGCTTTCGCCGTCGACGTTTAGCAGTGTGCACAAGAGATATCTCAGTGAGCATTTGAGCTTTGCCATCACCGGTTGACGCTGCACCTTCGACCTTCAAGTCCCCAAAGAACACCATCAACTCTAGACTCTACAGGCTCCAGTAAGACTTCGCCTATGACCGAAACTCGACAACAAACTTCCTTCGTGCCCCGCCATACAAGTACCGGAATAACTCAAGGTTTGCACCTCCCAAAGCTCCTCCGTGTCCAATCCATCCGAAGAGTTCTCAAAGCTTCGGTGTAAAGGCCAGTTGCCTCCCGTGCATGGGTGCAGTAGGGCTGTCTAGGCTTACGCCTCAAGAAGCACTGCTATCCTGAGCTCTATCCCCACTCAAGCCTCAAGCCCATGACGCTGATGCGTCGTCGGGCATTCCGGATTTGATGCACATACATGCACACGTCTGGGTGTGATGATATCACGCATGTATATAAACACTAGCTACATACATAACCATGTATGTGTTGAGTACACGTGCGTGCTATCTAATATATGTTTGTGTATACATACAGTATAGTAGTATACATATATACACAAAGCTATCATACTCAGCCGCCATTGTTCCAGTACTGTCCCTGCCCAGTTCATAAGCAGGACCTCTTTTAGTCAAACACACACACACACACACACACACACATCCAGCATGACACAACATTGAAGAAACTCATCGACAACCATAGTCACCCCATATTAGCCCATCGCGATTTTGCTGTCGGCTCAACAACACTCGCGAATGCAGCACGCAATCCCAATCCAGGCCAGTTTCGTATCTAACCAAATCCCGCCAAAAACTCAGCGACTCTCCAGAAAGACGCTTGCAGGTGCAGTTTTCTGGGAAGAGGTCGTTAACAAAAAGCTCGCCGGTCCTGGATCTAGCATCTCATCGTAGACACGCAGGTAAGGTTTCCTCGCAACGGGTCAAACTGCAGCAAAGCACACGGCACCGAAGTGAGTCTCCACAAGCCCAACTTCAGCTCGAATAGATCTTCCAGACTTTAACCATAAGGGCTCCACTGCTTCAACCAGGCATCATAGCCGAGTATGAACCGATGGCAAAGGTGTCCACGATATATTGGGCATGGACTTCGCCGCTGCGCCACGGCAGCCAAATCACTCCTGTCCGAACGAAGTCGCAAGCGTCGCTGGCACTCTCCTATACCCCCCCTTAGAACTGCATGGTGTGCATGAGTAGACTCCCTGCTTTGAGGGTGAGGCGCATTTTTCCGGGAACCAGCTGTTCACCCAATGCCAAAAGCACTCTGCCCCATCCACGGGCCGAGAGAGGCCGTGCCCCAGATCCGCATTTCCAAAGAATGCGACGTCATGAACAGAATCACACCGTATCGAGGGAAACCTCAAACGAAGTAATTCCGAACCCGATTACTGTTTCATCCCTAGACTAGGCCGTAAAGTCCTTACAGACACAGAAGCATCGCCTTTGGGGAAACCATTGCACCTAAATCATTCTCGAACATGGGGAAACAAATGTAGTAACAACGCATGTAGGACTTTAGGAGCTGCACGGTTCATGGAAGTCAGTACTTTGAAAGGACATAGCATTCTACTGTCTACTGCCATATTGTTGCAATAACGTACCGCTTCTATGCTGGGTCTTGCTGGGGCTCAGACCAGGCTACATGCGGAGCATGCTGGGAGCCGCACCAGGAAGCTCCAGCTGCATCGGATCTGCAGGAAAACGGTGCCAGAAGACATCCATTCGCGAGCGGCTGACCAAGCTGCGGACAGGGCAAGCAACTCAGGTGTGACCACGATCATGAACTCCAGGATCATGACATCAAGAGAATAACGACAACGAACGTGTAACGGGCGGAAGTGCTTCTCAAACAGTCTCCCAACCGCTAGCAAGTACTCATTGACACTCCATGGGCAGCAGAAGTCGGCCTGTAGTCTTTGCCCGTCGCGGCAAAGAGCTCATCACAGATCTGAACCTCACAGACGAAGAGCCAGCTTCTGAGGGAAAAGATCACGTGGCATAGTCCCGTGATTCACTCTCCATCTGTTTCACAACCCAGCTCCTCCAACTTTGTCAAGAGTGCACCTTGAATGTTTGGTGTACGCCTGGGAACGATCAAGGGAAGCTTCATTCCTTGCCCTGCGCCACCCCCAAGACGGCGGCCTTCTTCATCTGCCCCAGGAACGACCCACGCGGCCAGTCGGTCCTGGTGTTTACCAAGGAGTCCAAAAAAGGTGCTATTTAATACTTGATAAGGGCACCATACAGAAGCTATCATAAGCGGTCTCTCAGTTATTGTCACACCACTCGCAGGCTTCACGACAACCCCTGAGCCGAGCCTTGTGCTCTTGCAAGAGCTGTGACGCAGCTGCGGGGCCGAAAGCCCGAGGCTGAGCAAAGCGGTTCATCTTCCATCCAGAATCTAGAACCTGAGCAAATGAGCTGTCCGTCCTTGGTCCGAACTCTAGCCAGTCGTTCTCGGCAGTCCTCCGGAGCGGTTCGTTGACGTCAGCGAGGCGTGGCTCGGTTGAATTGGGCAGGTCTCTGGCCAAGTGACTGTGTGGACAACTGACAACCTTCCGAAACCAACCCCGCCCTTTTGCACAAGTTCAACCTTGACTTGTGCAAGCGTGTCGTGCAGAGCCCGTGCACTTCGCCTGCGCATGGCAGTCCGAAACCAGCCGTGCAGCTTGACACTCCAGGGCTCTATGCACCAGGCCTCTTCTTCTCGTCGTGCTCCTGGCGTAAGCTTCTTCGGGGAGGAATCTTGCCAGCTGCCAGCTTTGAAGGCGGGTTGCATCTTGCACCTGGGGTGATGCCCGGGGCAGGTCCCTCGCCTCCAAGTCCACGCAGCGCAGCGCGGCGAGGTCCAACTCCGCCAGCGTTCGTTCAGTGCGGGAGCACTCCTGGAAATCTGGAAAGCATGGGCTTTCTGATCCAGAGGTTGACCTTCTTGGGGGCATATCGGCCCTTGTAATGCACGTTCTCAAGAAGCTGAGGCGTCGATGATTCCTTCTACTAGGCTACCTCTGCATGCAAGGAGGATAGTGGCGCAAGAACCGCTATACTCTCGCTGCCATAGCATCTCGAAGACGAGAAGGCTTGACCCCTGGACTCTATGCAAGCCCATTTCCCCGGCCTCGCCGGCGTCTGTGACAGCAAAGATGTCGATGTCGTAGCCTGCCCCAGCAAGTGGGCCTTGTGTCACGGCTGCTCAGAGGCCTTCAAAACAGGTAAAGTTGTGAGCTATGGGGCATGAGCATAGTCTGCACCCCCCTTTCCCAAGTGAACACCAGAATAGCACCCTGAAGGCACTAAACCCGTAGTGGCCGCGGCACCCAGGACCGCTTGCTGCAGCGGTCGGACGACATTCTCGGGCTGTCCGGCCCCGCTGCGCAGGTGGCCTCGAGATGGGAGAAAGGCGCTCGGTGACAAGCAGTGTTCGTTGAGAGATGTGGGTTCTCGGGCAAACATAGCATTCTGCGTTGGTGTTTGCGATTGTGGACCTTGATCCTGATGTTCATTCACATCTGCCAAATGGCAACACAGAGAACAGCCAAGACGAGCGCGCGAGAGGGAGAGAGAGAGAGAGAGTTATAGAGTCAGAGACTCAGAGAGACACAGACAGAAACAGACAATCAGAAAGAAAGGCGGCGAGACATAGATACAGACTCAGACCAGACGGTCAGACGGACGGACGGAGGGACAGACACACAGAGAGAGAAAGAGAAGAACACACACACACACACACACAGACACTCTCACAATCTCTCTCTCTCTCTCTCTCTCTCTCTCTACCGGGCGTGGGGATTAGGGCGGCATCCAGGCCCCGCTCCCCGTGCAATGCGCACACCCGCTATTCGCGGGTTGTCCGTGGTCCTCGTGGGAGTTTTTCCCCCCCGAGGCTCAGCTGAACAGCACAAGGGATCACCCATTCACTGTCCCCCGTTTTGTACTGGTGCTCTGTAGTTAGGCGGCAGTGTGGGATCCCCCTTTGTTTGGCAGAGCTTGCGGCTTGTCTATGCTCTCTCTCTCTCTCACACACACACACACATGCTAGCATGCACTACACATATACACATTATCACAAAGACGGACAAAGAAACGGCCAGACTTTCGCCCTTTCCCACTTTCCTTCAGTCACTTATTCGCTTACTTGATACTGCATCGCTTCCTTACACACTTGAACGTATCTGGAACCTCTCATCTCCAGGCGCAGCTCCTCAGGTTTTTATGCGGTACGCAGGCTGACAAGGTGCCTGTGAGGCAAATCGCCACTGACCTGTCAGCGGGGCTCAGCGAGGAAAGGCGCTGCGCTCTTGGCTATGTGTCACTGCAGTAAATCCCTAGCCCGACTCACAGTCAGACTGGTGGAATTAAGACTCCCTGCCTTCTCGCGGGCACGTGCCATGGGAGGGCGAGAAGGTAGAGCACCTCCGGCTCTGAACGTCTCAAACTCTGACTCGACAGCTGCAAGAGCTGTGTACGGCTGGAGCATCTGCCGCACACCCACGGACACCTCTCCTGAATTGCAAGTCCGCTTTCATCCTGGCTCGGCTCCTAGACATCCGAATGCCAATGCCAGCTTTCTTGCCTGACTCCACAGCATCAGAAGCCGCCATGGACGGTTCCCGAGTGAGATCTTCGAGTTCGGGGGTTGGGATCAAGGGCTGCGATCACTCCGGGCATCTAGGGCTGGTGCGCTGGTAAGAAAAGGGCCACTGACTGCTGCGGTTCGGTGCACTGGCTTTGGAAGACTCTCTTGCGCTACCTTGGACCTGAAACTAGTACTGCGCGGGCACAAGAAGCAGCGTCGCTCTTGAGCTGCTGGGTCCCATGCACGCTGAAGATCCAAACTTTTACTTACTGCAACAGGAGATCTTGCTGCCACCGCACCACCCTCTAGGCGTTTTGGGACTTACAGATTGCTGCACGAGTTACAGAATGCAACATTTCTTCGGAACTCGAACACTAAATGCCAAGAACAGCGCCGTGAAGATTCTGGATGTTGGAAGACCAATTTTGCACGTCTTTGTCGTCTGCCTTTGCTTCGGACCTCTTTCCCTGACAGCATTTCTGCCCGGACGTGCCAGAAAGCCGGCGCCGAGACCTGGCTCTGGGGCTGACAGCGACTACGACGGCCTCTTCGCTTCAGAAAGGCACAGCTGCCAGGTTCAGCAAGGCCGCTGCCTCTTCGGAGCCTGAGGCCAAATTGAATCTCCCGTTTGCTTGCGAATAAACCCCCACTGCAGCCTTTGTGCTCTCGTCCGGCGCTCGTCCAACCTGCGACATGCACAATTAAAGACTCATCCGGTGCAGACAACTGCAAAAAGAAACTACATTCCCGTGGAAGTCTGTGTGGACGTTTCGCAAGGATTCCGTCCAGACCTGCAAAAATCCTATGAATACCACTGCCATTAGGAAGTAGATGCTTGGGTACTGGTCGGATTTGAGACGGCTTGATTGACATGATCACCAATGTAGGCACGATGTTCGAAAAGTCTGCCATGCATCAGACACGACAATTATTGCTCTGAACATCACCTCTCCGACAAACAAAGGCGCCGGGGTCCTACGGCAATCCAGAGACGGCCAGCCTGCCTAAGGCTGAGGATAGGGAAGGGAGCAACAGATCAACACACATACCATAGAACAAGTCCTTCGGGGGAGGGTTGGTCCGAATTGCCAGTTCATCCATCTACTAGGAGGCGCGGCACCCTATTTGCACAAACATTGTAAAGCTGTAAACCTTTTGCACCCTACTTTTGGGGCCTTAAGAATTAGAATAGGGTCTTGGGTTTATTATGCTATGATGAGAATAAGGAGCCCCCCTATGTGATTGTTAAGGCCCCTATACCCCAAACCCTAAACCCGAAACCCTTCAGAAGGGGACGCCGTGGACGCTTGTGTGTTCCTTACGGGGTGTGTTCCCAACCCTTAAACCCCTAAACCCCAAACCCCTAAACCCTAAACCCCTAAACCCCTAAAACCCTAAATCCTAAACCCTAAACCAAAACCCACCCTCAGGTATGAGAAGACGCTTCCCGGGCCGCCTCCTTGGATAGTGCTTTCAGGCTCGAGGCGGAGAGCCGCCGTCCTGAAACCGGGCAGCAGCGCGCGGGGGATCTCCCTGTCTGAATACTCCTGACAATAATAAGAATAATAAAAATAAAACAAGAATAGAAATATGAATCATTGTCAAAATAATCAGAATAATGGCAGAAGAGCAATAGTAATGTATTAACAGTGCTCATGATAGTACCAATCATACTAAGAAGTACTCATAACCGTCAGCTGAAGTTGAAGCGCAGCTGGAAGATGAAGGCCTCCACACGATCGTGTCCAGGCCCTTGCTGTTGGACTCCTCATTTCGGCCGTTGCTTTTCTTACCTTTGGTTAGTAGGGAATGGAGGAATGGGTACACCTATAACAACTATTACTACCATTCTTCCATTCCCTACTAACCAAAGGTGATTTTTTTGCTATTCCGGTTCAGTTGGCGGTATGTATCGCCCCGAAATCCCGTGTACTATGAAGTGATGTCTGGGCACACAGCTTGGTCTCACGTTTCCCTTTGAGACTCCCCGCCACTTTGCCAGGAGCTTCTCCAGCCTGCGGAGGGCCGCGGCCTGGAAAGAACGGAGTACTCAACGACCGCCAAATGCACGCACACCATGAGTGCTCATAGCTTAGATCCTGCGAAGGACAGTGTTGAAACTGTGAACTGCTCGAAATTACCGAACTCGCAGCATCTGCCAACACTTCTTTGATGATGGGATACCGTGCTTAATTAGCGGAAGATAAACAAGTAGAAAAACAGAACGGTAGGTAGCTAGGTAGCTAGATTGGTAGGTAGATAGGTAGATAAGACAATTAGATAAGATAGATAAGAATGGCTATACAAAGACCGACATATAGGCAGACAGATAGATCGATAGATACGTACTTCTTAGATAGATAAATCGATAGATCGATAAATGGATCTACGATGGACAGGTGGGCAGACAGGCAGACAGTTGAAAAGAGACAGTGACAGAGACGGAGAGGTAGAGACGCAGCAGGGAGGCAAAGAGATAGAGACCCGCGTGCTGGTTTTTGTATCTATATTGTAAGCCCAATGTAGTCAAGTGTCTGCTATAAAGATGGTGATCATGCGGAGGAGGATGACCATGATCACTACTCATGTTGCACTCTTGCTGCCACGACTAGATTTGTTGCAGTCATTGCCTTTCTTGTGATTCTCGTGCTGGTCACAAGCTGTGTTGCGGTGGTGATGATGATGGTGCTGCCGAAGATGCTACACCGACCTTCCTAAATAATTCTTCTCCTGCAACGATGGTCGCGGTTACGACGCTTCTTTCAACGGTTGGTTGGTCATTCTACCTGTATTCTACCTGTTCTTTGACATTGACGGCTTTGCACCTGTTCCAGTTATCGAAAACTGCGGCTTGAAACGTTGCTAAGTCATGTTTCTGCTCATGTAATCGGTACTGCAGTTGTTGTCGACCGTTGTCTGCACACGCCGTTTTGTGAGGGCGAACCTCCTGCGTGGCGCCCTTCTGCATGCGGCGGCAGAAAGCAGATGCTTCACGGTCCTGATCCAGTCTAAGATGTCAGTTGCTGGAGCAAGAGAGTTTCGGTGGCTCGGACTCTGCTAACCATGTTGCTGACCCGAACATCGATTCCTCTTGTGAGAAGACTCTATAACGCAAACCCAAGACAACTGCGTCTTTCGCGTGGTGGAGGCCGAAGACATGTCCCTGACTCTCTTGCCCATGACATATCAAACCAAACCACGTCCTCTTTGGCCATCCGTTGGTTTTCTTGCAGCTCACGCCGCAGCACTCGTCGTTGCAATCGCTCCTCGCCAGCCAACCGTCTTGAACTCAGTTCCGGTGTGGGTATTGGGAAGAGATGAAAGCGATCGTGCCGCACACACCATACTCTGAACGACATGCGCGAAGAATAGACGTCCTCCGGTCACAGTGTACTGTGCTCCAGCATGTTTTGCAAAAGGTCGGACGGTAGAATCCCGATCGGCGGAAGCGACGACCGACAAGCAAGCCACTGCCAGTGCGATTAAGCAAAGCCTCTCCTGTGCTACGTTCACCCCGGAGAGTTCTGAAGATAGAGGAGAAAGCGCCCAAGGAAGAGGACGGCAAGGGCAGAGTCTGAGCGAAAAAAAACAGAAACGAAACTCGCCTTCACCCTATCCTGTCCACGGAAGAGTCCTCGGCGGCCATCTTGGCACGGTTCCAGCTCTCCCACCTGGCAACATAGGCGGCAAAAGCAACCCCGAGCTCTGCTGGAGCAGAACAGCTGCGACTTGAGCCGCCTTGGGCTCCTTTAAGTCTCGCCGGTCGTACTCACGCTGGAGATGCGCTTCAGCCAGTTCTTCAATCCGTTCCAAAGACTTGGACCTCAGTGACAAGGGAAACTAACATCTGGGCAGAACCACTTAGGCAGGCTGAATGGGCAAGGGCACGTAACGTGAAGACCAGAGAAACTCCGCACCTGCCGCGAACTAAACTGCAGGTGATTGAGCAGAGGAGAGCAAACAGCAAGCGGCTCCCTGCACGAAACCCGGATGCCAAGGCCGACCCGCTGGACCGGACTGGCTTTGACCCTCCCCAGCGCGACGCACAGCGCAGAAAGAGAAGCCAAGGCGAGAGAAAAGCTCCAAAAAGACCCTTTGACTTGACTGATCTATACAATTATTTGTTTGTTTTTCTTTTGGAGGGGGGTGCTTATTATGATTATAATATGATGGGCCCCAAAACCCTATTTTAAAACTCCCCGAAAGCCAGGGTCTGGGTTCGCAGCACACGGCCAGCAGTCGCTCCCGCTTCGAGCCACAGCTCCTGGCACATGCTTTCCTTTACAAGTTGAGGGTCGGCTCCTTGTATCCCGGCATTCGGCGGAGGAGCTTTGAGTGGCTTCGAGATGCGGGTGGAGTCACCCTTTCCCCACTCCACCCGCAAGATTCCAACACCGTGACTCCTTGGAGAAACTGCAACTCCACACCATTGGGGTTCCCCAGAATCCAGAAAACCCCACCCTAAACCCTCAGCCCGAAACCCGAAGCTATGCCCTAAACCCCAAAGCCCTGCCTGGTAGACTTGACGAAGACGAAGCCAGAGCTCCTGAGATTGCGCAGGGCTGCGGCCAGGCGGCCTGTGCAGGGCTGAAGGTTGCGAGGCAGAACCAGGCTTTCCACCGGAGGTTGTAGCTTTTTCCGAAGAAGTCTTCATAAAGGTCTTTGTATGCTGAGAACATTACAAGTCTGTGGGACTTCGACGCCACCTAAACCTAGCCTGACTTGTGGCTCAGCAGTTCGAGCGGTGCTGATCTAACAGAGCTGAGCGTTCTGCAAGACACAATGGCCAGCCGCTCACAAAGCAGCAGCGGTCATTTTCGACCCTACGGCACTGACAGCTCAAAGCAAGAGTCTTCAAGATGCTGAGAGCTGCTGACTAAACCGCAAGCTCTACAAGGTCTGCCCCGGAGGCTTGGGTCTACCCTCGGCGACAGCTGCAGATTCGCTCCAGAACTTGGACACGTTGTGGCGATGGCTGACACCTTCGAGCCGGTCTGCCCGGCTTCTCGGCCCCTTGGGATGAGACGCTGCTTCTGAGCTCACGCCCGCTCCCGTTTCCAGGTCGTCGGCTGCCGACTGTCGCGGGCCAAATCACTGGGACTCGGCGGGGTCCTGCCAGTGACTGGAGTGTTCCACCAGCGCTTGCTTTCGGGGCTGGAGCTTGCAGGATCTAGATCGTTATCATGGAGTGCTCTTGAGGCCTCCTCGTCGTCTTCGAGGTCGATGCAGCTTGCCTGCACTTGACTTGTCATGAAGCTCAAGGGAACACGGTGGCATAAGTGGCTACCCCTGCCAAGCATGGCTCATCCCTTGAAACATGTTCATCCATAGTCAAGGCACTGTAGAGATCACACCTCACACGAATGAGGGCCGAAGCAGCTCCACACCGTCCTCATCTTTAGGTTCTGCAGCTGTTGGACAACCCATGATGTGCATCCCCAGCACCATGAGAAGTAACCACGCCCTGCGGATTCAAACGAATCTTCACAGGGTCACCACCACCACTACTGGGCTTTGACATGCTTTGACTTCGGCAAGCGACTCCGGGGGTCTGGGGCCGGCTGTTCTGCTCCGTTCTTCTGGCAAGGACTCCGTCTGAGCACTGGCGGACAAGAACTTCGGCACCACTCTCTACTCAACTGCCCCTATGGTGCCTCCTGTTGAGGTTTCAACGAGCGCGTGAACACGCCACGGCCCGCTTTCTTTGACAACCTGCCAGAAGTGGCGTGTATATATACATTTACACAACCCAATTATGTACCTTGTGCATATATATATATAGAGAGACTATATAGACACACAGATACACTTACTTTATCTACTATATACTTACCTACTTACCTCTACCTATCTATCTACATATTGTCGAGGTCCTGAGGCGAACTCAAAGGTCTGAAAACCCCAGCTGGCCATTGTGCTGGCGCTGTTTTCACCACATCCCTTTAAAGGTCCTCTGGCCGCTGGTATATCGTAGCATGTTCTCTTTTCGAACTTCCATGACCTTGCCTTCAATCATCTCCAGAATTGATGTCGATTTACACTGGTTTGCTGGCCCTGGCCCCTCCGAGAAACTAGCTAGCAACGTCTTTCTGAGCTCTGCTGAGATTACTATCTCTTTGCCTCAGAGGCCGGCGTTGCACTTTGGCTTTCTTCTCGTGGGGAAACGGCCCGTTTGCCACTCGCTGCTGCGATGCCTGGTCGGCTGGTGCGACATGAAGATGCACTATGCTACAGGGGTTGGGAGGCTGTCTTTTTCCAGATGTGCTTGTTTGTCCATCCCTTTGTTACATCTATGGGCAGAACTGGAGCACGAGACCAGAATAGCCCTTGCACATTCACAATCAATGTTGATCCGTCTCGCGGGACGATGCAGCAGTAGAACTCTCCTGCCTACGCTCTTTCCGACAATGAAACAGCAGACGCTATGCGAACGTGGCAGAGTGCCCTAAGCTCTCCGCACAGAACGAGATAACCGCTCAAACCACTTCTACGAATCGAGTGGCTCGGCCTACGTGCAGAAATCTGCCAAGTTGCAGATCGGATCCAGCCAGTGGAATCGCGGTTCTCAGCAACCCATTGAGCAATCGGGCTTGCATCGTAATCCTCGGAGAACCATTGACAGAAAACACCTAGCCGCTAGGCGCTCTAGGCTCCGTCAGAAACTTTGAAAACTGTGGGGCCGTTGCTACCACAGCCTAAACCATGTTTGTCCATCTCGCTTAGCGTCACTGAGGTCCACGTCCGCTTCACGCTGGACAGTCAGCCTAGGAATGGCAAGCATATGCAAGGACGACAATGCACAAACGACAATTCATGGTGCACGTGTGCAACGCACTAAGCCAAAACGGTCTGCAACGTAGTTGAGAGCTCACCCCTCGCTGGCAAATTTGCGCGCTGTTCTTCCGCACCTACCTTGCGCAACCGGACACGAAAGCGAAACGCTTGGAGATCCCAACTCCCGACGACATGGACACCTGGAATCCGAAACTTCTGGAAGCTCGTTCAAAAAGTGAGGTCCAGGCCCCTGGAGGCTGCACGCAACCAGCACTGCCCGAAAGCGCACACCTGTCGCCGCTGCCTGACCTGAGAGATGTCGTGGTAAACAGTTCCAAGGAAAATGCAAATCATCACGGTCTGAGGCTGGGTGTCAAGCTGTTGCAAAGTCTCAACTTTGGCTACTTTGGCTTGCGACCTTCCTCACCCTAAACCCTAAACCTGACTACTGCGGAATGCTGGAACCGAAGCGTGCAACGATAACATACCATGCGCTCAAAACTACAAGCATCACAAGCGCTTTCCGTGATACAGTAGACATCCATTGGCGACCACTGGTGTAGTTTCTTCGGAGTGCACGAAGTATATGTGGGGTCAAGTAGGGGCTCGCACGGCTTGGGAGCACCTCGACTAGGGAGTTTCCGAAAATAGGGGGTACCTTATTTCGGGGTCCCAGCAATAAGGATCCTTCTATCTAGGGTACTGTACCAGGGTCCCTCATTTTCGGAGACTCCCACTAATTCAATCTCAAAGTGTCGGCAGGCGCGGGCAAAGGTAGGGTCGTGATGGCTCGAAGGCCGCACCATGCCATGGAGGTCACCCCGCTGCACCACGAAGATCACAGTGCCTTCGGAGAGGTAAAGACATAGAAACAAAGGAATCGACACATGTAACTCTCTCTCTCTCTCTCTCTCTCTGCATATATATATATATATGTAAGTATACGCGCCTGTGTCGACATTGGTGCATACTACATATGTGCATAGGCTATGTACAGATAGAATCATACTCATACATACACAGATCTATTCATACTTGTCATCATTTTCGCCATCTATTTACATTTATGTGCCGATGGGGCTTGGACTGCTGCTGCTGACCTCACCTGCCGGCAGAGTTCGGGAGCGATGAGATTCGGAACTGAAATCTACAACCCGACTGAAAGCACATAACTCGGTTTAGGCCTGCTCCAAATTGCGCAAGCAGTCGAACTGATAGCATGGGGTGCTGATAGTAGGCAGAGTAGTTTTCTTGGGACGCGAGGGTTTCGTCTTACCACTGTCACCAAGATACATTGGGAGCCGGCTTGTGCCAAAGCTGCCAGCTCCGTGACGTGTCGGCTGGCCCTTGACGACACAGAGTCGGGGAAGTAGCCTGGTCCGAAGAAACTTGAATCATGAACACACGTGGGAACCTTCCAGAAAGCAACAATCCAGGGGAAGCACGAAGGCTACCTTGGAGGTCAGAACCGTGCAGTATCGCGCCGTTGCTTTCGAGTGGCCGTGCCCGTCAGGGTAGACCATGTGGCAGTTCTTGGCTTCCTTAACTTGGCTCACAGAAAGATGCGATCCCGAGAAGTAGCGGCAACCTAAAATGGGGCTTTCACTTTGCAGCACTTCTCTAAAATACAGAAAGCTCATATATACAGGCCGGATCTTCAAAGATGCGTGCGCTCATCGCGATGAAGGACTTGTGGCAAGCGCGCACAGCTGCTCACAGGTTTCGGCTCAAAATCGGACATCGTGCAGGGAAAGATGCGGGTCCGTTGCTGTAGACGTGTGTCCTCCGCCTCGCAAGGCCTAAATGCAGCCCAGCGGCTATGTAGTGATCTCCTGAGCATCAGGAGGTTTGTCACTCTGTCCAAACCAACTCACGGTACCAATAAAAAACGTGGGGCCATGAAACCAATCTCCGTTAAGACGCCACCTTCAGGTGTACGCAGCCAGAAATCAAGCCGCGACCCCACTGGCCTCTGAGCATGCACAAATAGGCTGGAAGCCTATCTTTGAGTGCATCAAACGTACATGAACCAATGGCATAGCATCTCAACGTTCGGCGCGTGCCTCTTGCGCTTCTTCTGTCGTCGAGGCCTTGATGCATACATGGGGCATGAATCAACAATCGTTCAGAGTTGACCGCTCTGCTTGGTGCCAGCTTGGGCAATTCGTGCTCCCTCGGGCACTATTTGATGTCCAATCTACTTGCAGATCTCCCCGTCTCTCGATGCTTCCGTTAAGCCCTCGACGTCCGCTCTTTGGTATCTGCCTGTCAGGTTTGAGGAAATTACTGTGAAACAGCCATACGGCCCGTAGAATTTAATATCTTATACACGAGCCACTCACGGCACGAGACCGAGACTTTTTGGAGTAAGGTGGTATAAGGGGGTTGTGCGCCTGTGGGAAGCAACGCGGAAGGTTTCACAAAGCGCATGGTCAATGGTCGCCCGATGTCTTGCCCGCCATAGCCACGGCACGGACTTTCTGCAAACAGCCTTGTCGTCAGAGACGGCGCCGGCCGATGCGGGAAGATGGCCGTCAGCATCGTCAGTCCTTACATTGGAATACGGATACGATGTGTGGTAGAACTTAAAGATTCAAGCTTTGGTAAGCTTCAGTCGCAGTCTTTGACACGGAAGCTGCCTGCAGGCTGTAAGATGCAAGAGTTGCCAGGCGCTTGGCGCTCTTGCTAGTTGCTGGGCTCACGCTGACCAGGCCGCAGCGTCCTTTTTACACTCCGCTTTTTTGTCGCCCCTTTTCCATCCGCCACAAGTGTTAGTTGGAAAGTCTCTTAGACCGAGGCACTAGGTCAGATTAGCAGCCGCAGGATTCACCACCACCCAATGGCTGTTCTCTGACCAAACACACCATTTTAGATTCCCGACCTCACGAATTTACACTGCTTTGGGGCGACTTCATGCAAGTGCTATATGGGTCTTTCTAGAATTCTATAGACGAGTGCATGCGCTGCGGATCGAAGAGATAGAGCCGATGCTATTCCGGACCTACTTTGTCAAGGCACTTCGGGATGAGAAGATGCAGCCAAGGGATCGGATTGATGTGCGAGAGGCTCTTCTCGCTCTTCATTTCCACCCAGTCGTCGAGTCCTCGACCCACACGTCGTCTTCCACAGCAACCGACAACTTGAAGCATGAGCAGACCCCGGACGACTGACAACTACGATAAAGCCGGTAGGTATAGTGCCTGCGAGAAATAGGGAACAGCTCGGTCCGATGACTAGTCGCCCTTCTTCTATGTTGCCTCCCCAAGCAAACTGCTACCCTCGCTGCAAACAGGTAGTATCTCGCTGCATGCTGTTCTGGAAAAGATCACGCCTGGCAGTAGCCGCTGCCGAAGCAGCTCTCCCACCACCAAGTTGGGCCTGCAAGGGGCTGATGTCGGTGTCGATATTCGCTTTTTCCCACAAGCGTAATGACCATAAACTTCCTGCTCTTTGATGTTCTTCGATGCTTCTGTTGTTGAAGACCCTTCGGCCGTTCCAGCAGAGGCTGATGAGGCTTCAATCGCTCACACCGCAGGCAGCGGGATTCAAGGGAAGCAAGCGCCTCTGCGTGTTGGTCCCGCAAAGAACCCCGTTGTGGTCAATGAGCTCCCAGGTCCAGCGTAGCCGACGCTTCGGCGCCGACGTTCCTGGAAAGGAGCTTTGGAACATGCACCGGTCAAGCAATAAAAACCCGCACCCGGCAGACCGGACCTAAACCCAAAACCCCTCAGACCCTGATGATAGAACCCGGACCCTCGTAACGCGCCGTTGTAAAACTATTACAAGGGCTTCAAAAAGTAAGGAGTTAAAAGCAACTCCATGCCTTGCCCCACGGCAGCTTCGGCCAGCCAGACAGAGGCCTCGCTTCGGCTGAAGGCCTCCATACCTCGACATGGGGCCAGAAGCCTACGGCAGCAAAGCAAGGAACTTAAGGCTGAACCGTATGCTTGGGGCCTGTGGCAGCAACTCAAGGAAGTGCGGAAAAATTACTTTTCGATCCTCGTCCGATCTGCTTCTGTGCATTCTATCTCTGGTAGACTCTGCATTGGTTGCTCCTGCAGATCACCCCCAAGATTGAGCACATCAGAGCAGCACTGCCGAAGCGATAAGCGGTCGAAGCCAAGCCAAGCAGTGACATGGCACGGCCAGGATTGACGCAGTAGGCGACATCTTTGGCCCCTGACTCCAGGCGAACATCCTTAGGCTAGCATCTGGCTCGTCTGGCCGGCTGACTCGCATCAAGTTCAAGTAGAGTGCAGGGGTGCAGCTGGAAAGGGTGCTGGAGGGCTTTCTGAACTGTCTCTTGAAAGATTTGCATGCCTTTTTGTGGCCTTCACAACTTGCGTCACTGCTGTTACTGGGGCCGAGTCTGCCAGAAAGCGGTCGCGACGTTGCAGCAGCGTCGCAGGCGTCAATGGTGGAAATGGCAGGAACAACATCTGCAAGCTCCCATCTAGGCACCGCTAAGATCTAATTGGATGCAAGATTGTGCATGATTTGCGGGATCAGACCCCAGAGCAAAAGAATGACAAAGTGGTGGTTGCCATGAAGTACGATCGCAATGCACGCGGCTGATGCTGGGTCGGGCTGCTGCACTCATCATGTTTGTTGCGGGCTGCTGTCACCTCGATGCCAGCATGTTTCAGCAATTCTTGATGTGTGTGTGTGTGTGTGCGCGAAAGTCGACGTCTCACATATCAAGGTGCGAGCTTCCCATCCGTAGCCGGGAGGCGAAAGCTTCCCAACGGTCTTACCACGAGCATGCGTGTGGCCTGGCCTGCCCATGCAACTCTCCTCCGGCCGCCTGAGCTGAAGGGCTCTTGGCGAGTTTCGGAACAGCAACAACTCGGCTCTCTGCGTCCGCATCCGTCTCGAGGCCGTCGCTGCTGTGCCGCGCGCACACGCCGCCACGCACCCAAAGCCGAGTCAAAGTCACCGGCCTCAAAGACCTGTCGCGACGAAAGGTTCTCAGGTCCCAGAGTCCGCAAAACTAAGCCCAAGCTGGTCAAAAGCCATGCAGCACGCGCTAATTGGCTCGCAAGCATCCCTTACATTAAGCTTGCATTGTCCAGTTCATCTCCTATGCACTGTTGAAGAATCTCAGCTCAGTAAGTTCCACGGCCGCCCGTGTTCCTGAGTCTTCTCAGCAGCACGAACATTTCTTCGAGCTGGCATTAGACTGCTGCACGCACGCCACGCACACAGAGATACAAGACGAATGGCGCTCCTCTGTGCGTATGCAGTCGCCTGATGAAAGTAGATTGTGCGTCCGGCGAAGTTGCACATGCCCCCCCCCCCCCCAAGAAATCTGTGCGACGTGAGCAGCTTGGCATGAACACCGCTGTTCGCCTGCACTGGTGCTGCTGATGCTCCGCTGACAAGGTGTCAGATTTCGGATTCTGAGAACTCTCTAATAATATACTATACTATAATAATATACTATACTACTATACTATAATAATACTATATTACTATACTATAATAATACTAAACTATAGTAATACTATAAGTATCAAACCTTGCAACTCCCGGGTTAAGCTCGGAGAGAAGGACCGGGCTCAGGAGGACGTGCCGGAAAATCGCGCAAGCCACCTGGCGAACTTCTGCGAAGCGTTGAAACCGCACACTTCTGGGAGAGGCGGTTGCCGTCCTCGATTAAACAGATACTTATAGTATTGCTATAGTTTAGTATTATTACAGTATAGTAGTATAGTATTATTATAGTATAGTATAGTATAGTATTAGAGCTGAAGAATCGCCGGCCTGGAACGAGATCCCTCTGCGCGGAATTGCCTGAGGCCGAGGCGAGGCTGGAATCCGCGACAACTCTGAGATGGCAAGCAATGCAAGCAATGCAAAGCCCGCAAAGCCCGCAGGCCTCGATTTCCGCCATTGCCGTTCGGACCTCAAAGCATGGGAGTCTGGGTGGCATGAGCTCTGCCAGCTGTGTGTGATCTTCGTAAGTCGTGGCGGGTCTCGGTTTGGCTTGCAGCGGCTGCTTCCATACAGTGCCAAGGAGCACGATGCTCAAACAGCCCGCTGCCTGCAGTCACTCGCTGCCGTATGGAAGCCTCGACAGGCCATGATGAAACGACTCGAAATTTGCTAAACACGAAGGTACACCTGCTTGAGGACGGGCTTGTGGACTACCTTTTCTTTTATATGATTTTATATGCATGTCCCCATGTCCCGACCAGAGATAGGCTGAAAAGCGACACACTGTTTCCAACAACAGCCCAATGAGGATCCCAAGATGTCCGCAAGCAAGGCCGCGCGCACAAGCACCTCTAGTGTCGCCACCTGCTTGTGAACTTCCGAAGACACATATCTGCCATGGAAGCATTGCTGGAAACACGACACGCAGCCCACGCGTACTGCTGCGAAAAAACATGATTCAGTCTTTTTGGTGAGTCTCATCGGTACACCTGGTACCGCATGCACTTCATCCAGTTGCTTCAATATGCCTCGCCTTTCCGAAGCTCCTAACCTCTGCTCGATAATCCGAATCCCAAACCGTACTGCTTGAATCGATAATGCAGCGGGATCCCTGCATTCACATTCCACACTACCAGGGCCCCAGCCAAGCATGTCAGATCACGCTGAGCTTCCGAAAGGGAGGATCTTGGCCGAGCCTCGTCAAACAGGCAAGAAAGGGACGGCTCCTAGAGACGGGCGAGCATGAGACCTGCGACACACCTGTAGGCACCGGTGCTTGGGCTTGTCAGTATGAACTTTCGGAATGTCCGACGCTGACACAGCTTCCCTGCGAAGCGCCTGCAGTCGCAGATTGCTAAAGCTGATGCAGGCGCGGTACTTCGTACCACCTGGAGGGGGCTTGGCAACAAGGGTGCGTGTGGAGATTCAGGGTCTGCTCCATTGACCACTGATCCTAGAACGTCACAGACACAAGTTGGTGACATTCCGCGAAGTGGTCAAGCTGTGAATACTCAGCAGAAACTAACTACCCAAACAAATCGTCTGTTTGGACGGTGGACTTGATGTGCCCCCGGTGCCAGAGCCCCTCAGCATGTTTCGACACCCTGGGAGGGCTTGGACGACCAGAACCGCCTGCATGTACTTCCGAGCAGAAGAACCAAACACCAAGCTGAAGCCCCACGCCCAAAGGCCTCGAGCGTGACGGCAAAAAATACCGTGCTCTGTGGCCTGCCGGTTTTGGTTTTGTACTTCGGGTGCGCCGTGCAAACGTGCACTGGATTTCTACCCTCACTCGAAAATGTTCAGTCAACCGATAACACCTAAATACAAGGAACACCCTGGTCCGTCAGAAATTTCTTGGGTCGCCGATAGCATCCAAGACAGCCTTGCCTTACCAGCCTGCTCTCGCCGCAAGCCCCGCGCTCTCTTGCGCGGCACGAGTGGTCTTGGCGATTTTGCTTGATAGGTCGGGCGAGGGATAGCGAGGAGTCGAAGGGGAGTGAGGGGCTGAATTGAAGATTCAGGAATTCTTTCGCAAAGTCCGCCATGCTGGAGCGACAGCTTTATCAGCTTTTTGGGTGATCTAGCAAAAGTTACACTCTTGAAGGCCTTCTTGCACTAAACGTCGGCAAGAGCAGTTACAGTTGCGGGGCACCCTCTCTTTCTTGCATCATCGCACAAAGACACCTGTCGTCGAGAACCTTCGTAAGCAGGTGTCCGAGGCTGTCTCGAAAGCTCCTAGCCTTCAAGCAGTCTCACAGCCCTGCACGAGATGGTGACCCGGCCCTTTCGAGCTGTTGAAAATTCAGTTCGGCTGTCTGAAGGGTCTGGAAGAAAGAACCACTGTGTGGCACTTGGTCAGCTTTGAGAATGAAATGCTCCAAGCTAGCTGCATAGCGAGATCTAAGCAGGCATCGTAGAAGGCTCCGCCACCAGTGGAATCTTCCGTTCGTCCGTGGCTATGTGACTGTGTAGAAAGGGGACTGACAGAAGCTGTCGCTTGCTCCCACAAGCACCGTCTTCAGAGCAAGAGGGCTCCAAGGTCGGACGTGCGGCATCGCTAAGAACAGATCAAGTCAGCCGGCTGAGTGAAATTTGGTGAAACGCAGCAGGGCGAAGGCGACATGCGCCAAGCAAGAAACAAAGGGCGCGTGCGCAGAAGCAAAACAACTGCAAACGATTTCAATGGCCATCAGAACTCTACCGAAGCACCCGAGCCGATGTATGAAGCCTTGACAAACTCAGGGCTGCAAACGTGCCTGCGTTGGAAAATGAGAAAGGCGGTGCTTGAAGCGAACTGGCAATCGACGACTGGTGCTGTGCACTCACGCGTCAGCTCGGCCGGCAACATGTGGCTCACAACGGGCTCTCTAAGAAAATGCAGATCGCAAGGACACTGGCTGCCTGTTCATGAATGGCCCGACTAGAGCATATCGTGCCCGACCAAGCGTACCAGGACTACCGTGGCAAAAACCTGCAGCCAGGTGCTACAATGGACTCCTCTCCAAGCAGAATTGTCTAGATGAGCTGCTGTTCTACTCACTCTGGACTTCTCCCAACATTCCAAAGCCACTGCTTGGGGTGAGTCGCTGACATACGGCCGGGGGGGCTTAAAAAGTCACATTGTTTCGCTGAGCCTTCAGCTCCTGCAGGATCGAAGCCTTGCTGTGGCCCTCACAGTGACGCAGAGCTATCGAGAGGATGGCGGAGAAGTTCATGCGCCCGATCACCTGGCGCTTGAAGCCAGCTTTGAAAAGGCCTCCCCAGTCCCCTGTTCTTCCGTCCAGGCATGAAGATATGCTGGAACACCCTGAAGCCACCGGAAACATTAAGCAAGCCTAGCAGAACTACTCGCACTCTGCCCAGTGTTTGTGGCACCTGGCGCAAGTTGGCAAGCTTTCGAGACTTCGTCTGCGGGCGGCTTGGACGGAGTCCTGCCTGGACAGCCACAGCCTCGGTTGCGCCGCAGGCAAGCTGTGCACCATCGAGCAACCCACCTACCATATCCAACCATGGTAAGCGCCATCTAATCGACCAAGGAGCCGCGACCACGAAACCCACATCATGGAATCCATCTTGCTCCGCACGATCCTGAAGTAGCTCTGCGAGAAGGCCCAGCAGCTCTGCCCTAGGCATCGTGCTCATCAAGCGGCGCTGCTGCTTGTCGGGTTTGGGGTCATTCGGGCCACTGTGATGATCATGATGACAAAACCCACAGGCCACACCTTTCTGGCACTGCCCCTGCTTTGCGACGTAGATGCATGGGCGACTGCACAGTGTTGGGTGTCCCACACTGCCACGGTTTGGCGCGGGCGGCTCGAAGACTGTTGCATCCCGCCCTTGTCGGAGAGTGCGAAGATGAAGATGCGCCCATGCATCTACGACCAGAGTCTCCGAGTTTGCCACGGATGCCCGGATTGGGGGAAGGCTGCGGGCCCGTGCACGGTGATCGTCACCGTCCGTCTTGCCATCCTCCGTCACGTCAATGAAAGTAAATCGGTACCCAAGTTGCGCTCCGCTCATGGCTCCTTTTCGATCCGGAAGCGGCTTGAACAGCTTTCGACAGGCTGCGGGCGTAGGTTTGTTGGTCAAATTTGTCGCAGAAACCCCGAGAGGTCATGCCTGTCCTCGATTCCGGCAAAGGGCTTGGAAGCCTTCATGGAGTTGCAATAGAAGTCGGCAAGAGCAGTACCACCCGCAGCACGCCCTCTCTTTCTTTTCACCATCGCGTGGCGACAGTTGTCGTCGGGAACCTTTGTAAGCAGGTGTCTCGAAAGCTCCTAGCCTTCGATCAGGCCCTGCACGAGACGGCAATCCCTAGTTTCAGTCGTGTGCAGGCCCCGCCAGCTCTTGAAAATTCGGCTCGGCTGTCTGAGGGGTCGCAGGCAGTCCGTCAAGAATGGGATTGAACCATCGTGTTTCCTGACGGCAGCCTGCCAACGGCGCAGTCTTCCGTAGTGCTTGACTGTAAAAGGTAGAAAAAAACTCACCCGACTATACCCACTGAAGGTGTCAGGATATAGTGAAACACAGCCAGGCGAAGGCAACATTCAAGCGAGAAACGCAGGACACAAGCACAAAAGAAAAACAACATACGCTTTCAATGCCTACCAGAGTGCCGTCGAAGCACCCTTGCTGATTGGAGGTAAGATGCCTCTGCCGGAAAGAGATGGAAGGTGGAAGCCAGCTGACCGTTCGTAAGGCGAACTGGCAATGGACGAGTGGTGCTCTGCACTCACGTGCCAGCTAGGCCGGCGACATGTGGCTCACAACGGACTTGTTAGGCTGTTAGACACACGGATCGGAAGATTTCATTGATAGCCCGACTAGAGCACATCGTGACCGACCGAACGTACGAGGACTACCGTGGCAAGAGCCCCCGTCCCTGTGATCATCGTGCTGCTCAGTCCATCTGTTCATGCTCGATGACGGCAGAGACTGCCTTCTGAGAAACCGCACGAGACAGGGGCAGAAAGATGCGGAAACATGCTACAGGTGAGTGACGGCCTGTGGACTCCTCTCCAAGCAGAATTGACTAGATACTGAGATGCTGTTCTACTCACTCTGGACTTCTCCCAACATTCCAAAGCCACTGCTTGGGGTGAGTCGCTGACATACGGCCGGGGCGGCTTAAAAAGTCACATTGTTTCGCTGAGCCTTCAGCTCCTGCAGGATCGAAGCCTTGCTGTGGCCCTCACAGTGACGCAGAGCTATCGAGAGGATGGCGGAGAAGTTCATGCGCCCGATCACCTGGCGCTTGAAGCCAGCTTTGAAAAGGCCTCCCCAGTCCCCTGTTCTTCCGTCCAGGCATGAAGATATGCTGGAACACCCTGAAGCCACCGGCAACATTAAGCAAGCCTAGCAGAACTACTCGCACTCTGCCCAGTGTTTGTGGCACCTGGCGCAAGTTGGCAAGCTTTCGAGACTTCGTCTGCGGGCGGCTTGGACGGAGTCCTGCCTGGACAGCCACAGCCTCGGTTGCGCCGCAGGCAAGCTGTGCACCATCGAGCAACCCACCTACCATATCCAACCATGGTAAGCGCCATCTAATCGACCAAGGAGCCGCGACCACGAAACCCACATCATGGAATCCATCTTGCTCCGCACGATCCTGAAGTAGCTCTGCGAGAAGGCCCAGCAGCTCTGCCCTAGGCATCGTGCTCATCAAGCGGCGCTGCTGCTTGTCGGGTTTGGGGTCATTCGGGCCACTGTGATGATCATGATGACAAAACCCACAGGCCACACCTTTCTGGCACTGCCCCTGCTTTGCGACGTAGATGCATGGGCGACTGCACAGTGTTGGGTGTCCCACACTGCCACGGTTTGGCGCGGGCGGCTCGAAGACTGTTGCATCCCGCCCTTGTCGGAGAGTGCGAAGATGAAGATGCGCCCATGCATCTACGACCAGAGTCTCCGAGTTTGCCACGGATGCCCGGATTGGGGGAAGGCTGCGGGCCCGTGCACGGTGATCGTCACCGTCCGTCTTGCCATCCTCCGTCACGTCAATGAAAGTAAATCGGTACCCAAGTTGCGCTCCGCTCATGGCTCCTTTTCGATCCGGAAGCGGCTTGAACAGCTTTCGACAGGCTGCGGGCGTAGGTTTGTTGGTCAAATTTGTCGCAGAAACCCCGAGAGGTCATGCCTGTCCTCGCTTCCGGCAAAGGGCTTGGAAGCCTTCATGGAGTTGCAATAGAAGTCGGCAAGAGCAGTACCACCCGCAGCACGCCCTCTCTTTCTTTTCACCATCGCGTGGCGACAGTTGTCGTCGGGAACCTTTGTAAGCAGGTGTCTCGAAAGCTCCTAGCCTTCGATCAGGCCCTGCACGAGACGGCAATCCCTAGTTTCAGTCGTGTGCAGGCCCCGCCAGCTCTTGAAAATTCGGCTCAGCTGTCTGAGGGGTCGCAGGCAGTCCGTCAAGAATGGGATTGAACCATCGTGTTTCCTGACGGCAGCCTGCCAACGGCGCAGTCTTCCGTAGTGCTTGACTGTAAAAGGTAGAAAAAAACTCACCCGACTATACCCACTGAAGGTGTCAGGATATAGTGAAACACAGCCAGGCGAAGGCAACATTCAAGCGAGAAACGCAGGACACAAGCACAAAAGAAAAACAACATACGCTTTCAATGCCTACCAGAGTGCCGTCGAAGCACCCTTGCTGATTGGAGGTAAGATGCCTCTGCCGGAAAGAGATGGAAGGTGGAAGCCAGCTGACCGTTCGTAAGGCGAACTGGCAATGGACGAGTGGTGCTCTGCACTCACGTGCCAGCTAGGCCGGCGACATGTGGCTCACAACGGACTTGTTAGGCTGTTAGACACACGGATCGGAAGATTTCATTGATAGCCCGACTAGAGCACATCGTGACCGACCGAACGTACGAGGACTACCGTGGCAAGAGCCCCCGTCCCTGTGATCATGGTGCTGCTCAGTCCATCTGTTCATGCTCGATGACGGCAGAGACTGCCTTCTGAGAAACCGCACGAGACAGGGGCAGAAAGATGCGGAAACATGCTACAGGTGAGTGACGGCCTGTGGACTCCTCTCCAAGCAGAATTGACTAGATACTGAGATGCTGTTCTACTCACTCTGGACTTCTCCCAACATTCCAAAGCCACTGCTTGGGGTGAGTCGCTGACATACGGCCGGGGCGGCTTAAAAAGTCACATTGTTTCGCAGAGCCTTCAGCTCCTGCAGGATCGAAGCCTTGCTGTGGCCCTCACAGTGACGCAGAGCTATCGAGAGGATGGCGGAGAAGTTCATGCGCCCGATCACCTGGCGCTTGAAGCCAGCTTTGAAAAGGCCTCCCCAGTCCCCTGTTCTTCCGTCCAGGCATGAAGATATGCTGGAACACCCTGAAGCCACCGGAAACATTAAGCAAGCCTAGCAGAACTACTCGCACTCTGCCCAGTGTTTGTGGCACCTGGCGCAAGTTGGCAAGCTTTCGAGACTTCGTCTGCGGGCGGCTTGGACGGAGTCCTGCCTGGACAGCCACAGCCTCGGTTGCGCCGCAGGCAAGCTGTGCACCATCGAGCAACCCACCTACCATATCCAACCATGGTAAGCGCCATCTAATCGACCAAGGAGCCGCGACCACGAAACCCACATCATGGAATCCATCTTGCTCCGCACGATCCTGAAGTAGCTCTGCGAGAAGGCCCAGCAGCTCTGCCCTAGGCATCGTGCTCATCAAGCGGCGCTGCTGCTTGTCGGGTTTGGGGTCATTCGGGCCACTGTGATGATCATGATGACAAAACCCACAGGCCACACCTTTCTGGCACTGCCCCTGCTTTGCGACGTAGATGCATGGGCGACTGCACAGTGTTGGGTGTCCCACACTGCCACGGTTTGGCGCGGGCGGCTCGAAGACTGTTGCATCCCGCCCTTGTCGGAGAGTGCGAAGATGAAGATGCGCCCATGCATCTACGACCAGAGTCTCCGAGTTTGCCACGGATGCCCGGATTGGGGGAAGGCTGCGGGCCCGTGCACGGTGATCATCACCGTCCGTCTTGCCATCCTCCGTCACGTCAATGAAAGTAAATCGGTACCCAAGTTGCGCTCCGCTCATGGCTCCTTTTCGATCCGGAAGCGGCTTGAACAGCTTTCGACAGGCTGCGGGCGTAGGTTTGTTGGTCAAAGTCGTCGCAGAGAGGTCGAGATGCTGCCCTGACATCCGGCACAAAGCTTTGAAGCATTCACGGCTTGCAATACAACCATGAACAGTCGGCAACAGCAATCGCAATCGAAGGCAGAAACAACATGAAATGGAAGGAAGCAACAGGCGAAAGAACGCTTCAAGCGAAGACTTGGCTTCCCCACTGTTGCCTGTCAGTTATTACACTGACAGGCTGATTTCTAGCTAGCGTTGGGATGATATTTGCATCGTATGCTGCCGGTACTTGCAAATGTCGAGGTCGAGGCAAGGGAATTCTCGGCCCCTCGCGGCGGCTTCCTTGCCAGGCGGTGCACTCCTTGTGACACCTTCCCGGGCGTAGTGACCTGGCTCAAACAGCAGCTATGACTGCCAAGTATAGCCTCTTCACCGTCTTGAGTTGCATTCGACATATGATTTCTTCCTGTAAGGGGCAAGTTCCATCCCCATGTTCGACTTGGCATCCGCTGCTAAGCCGGTTTGACCTGTGCCCAGGGCTGTGTGGTGAGCAAGCTCCCTTATCCCGAAGATGACCCCTCGGTGCAGCTGGAGATGTCTTCAGTCTCATTCGGTCTCATGTCTGCGACGCTGTTGGGGCTCAGTTTGAATGTGCAAGAATCAAAGACTTAACACACGAAACCTAGAACCTCATGCATAAAAGCTTCATTGAAGAACCATCTTCGAACCCCTGTATGCTCAGCTCACAGAAAACCCTCTGAGCTCAGTTAGAGGCCTGCTTCAAGGCAGCAGCCGCCACTGGCCCGGGCGGCCGGCTCTTCAGCTGGGACACATCTGGCAAGGAGCAAATGTCTTACAAAAAAAGGGTATCTTGGTAAGGTCAGGGAAGCTCAAGAGCATAGGGTGCAGGGCCTCAGGTCTGAGTTCAGGTTGCCTTGGTGGGGTCCTTACATGGCGAGCCAATCTTGGAGTCTGATTTCTGGGCACATAGGCGCCTTTCCTTGTCGGCCTTTGGGCGGATTTTGCTGCTAATATAGGGGCCTTAATAAATAGACTGGGGTTTCGGGGCTCACTATATAATATTTATAAAAAGGAACCCCCAAAATAGAATAGGTAATTATTAAGGCCCCTATACTACAGTCGCCCTGCTGCGCTAGGCCTCGCTGCCGCAGCAGAAGCTGCTCCAGCTCTTTCCGCTGCCTTCAAGCAGGAACAGAGAACTATCTATATACATATACATATACATATACATATACATATACATATACATGTACATATACATATGCATATACATATACATATACATATACATATGCATATGCATATGCATATGCATATACATATACATATACATATACATACACATACATATAATTACATATACATACACATACATATATGTATATATATATATATATATATATATATATTATATCATAGTATATATACCATTTATTATAATATATATACATATATATACTCATATATATATATATACATACATACATACATATATATGTATATGTAAGAGTAAACCCGTCAACGCTGGAAAGGACAGGTGTCCTTCGAAGCACAGAGAGAATGCATCGACCGCCCACGAAGGCCCATCGGCTTTGGCGCTTGAATCTTTCATGCAAACATGTTAGGAACAGACCATAGATCCGAAGCTGCCAAAGCTCGTGCGACGCGCAATGAGTGAGCTAACAAGACGGGGAAATTTCAGTCAGGTTCTCCAAGCCGCGACAGCAACATCCATTCCAAAACATCTCAGGTGCCGGCCACTCTGCCAAGCGCTTGGACAGAACATCGCTGCGCGCTTGACGGCCAAGGCTTGGCGTCGCGCTTACATTGGCTTACATCGCTTACACTCCGGTGCCAGGTTTTTTTTGAGCCCTCTTTTCCTTCTGCCCGTAGGGTTAGTTGGAATGCCATGCTGGCTAGGAGACTCGCCAGGTTTTTTTTTTTTCTGACGCCTCTTTTCCTTTCCGCCTCCAGGTTGGTAGGGAATGCCTATCCGGCTGAGGCTTCGGTGCTGACTCGCCAGGGTTTAGGATTTAGGACATTGGCTTACATCGCTTGGAGAATAGCTGATGATCGAAAACTGCTGGGATTCGGCTTCAAGGCTGAGGGCCGATGGTTCAGCCTTGACATTCCCGAGGTCCCACCTTGGATTCGGTTTCCTTGGGTTTTTCTGGTCCGGGAGTTAGGGTGGCTTTCGGTTCTTCCCGAAAGATGAGGGCATTGGGGACCATCTTGGCAACTCAAGGAGTGCAGTGGTAAGATAGCCTGGGAGAGCACAGTACACCATGGAAGTTGGTATCTCCAGATATCTCCAGTGTGGCGTTGTTGCGGTCACTGTGGCTGTTGCTGTTGTTGTGCTGTTGCTTGTCAGTCGTGGCTTGCCCCGATATGTCGTGCCAGTCCCTTCTTCCATGAGGCCCGGACCCTTGCAGCAGCTCCACGATTCGTTCCGGCAGGTGTGCAAGCCCGCGCCGGCGTCGGCACTGGCATCACAAAGAAAGCTCAGACGGGCGCCCGTGTTATTGCGAATGTGAGGTCCCGTTCAAAACTTTGGGCCCCATGGGACGAGCACTGAGAGGCTCTAAGGATCCCTTCGTCTTAGTCTCGCCATAAGGATCCTGAGGTTCTAACTTTGGCTCAAGGGTGGCCTGGGGTGCGGCTATGAGGCTCCGGAAAGTTTCTCCGGTCTTCCTGTCGAATGTTTGGGCTTTCTCTGCCTGTTCAGGAAAGGGCTACAGGTCCATGTCAGAAGAGGAGTTTCTAGTGGGTGGGCTTCTCCAAAATCGCATCCCAGACTACATCGAAGAACCACCCGATTACAAACTTACGAACCAGCAGAACCTAAACAAGACTGCGTCTGACTCCACAAGTTCAACAAGCTTTTGCTGAGCCGAGCTGCCCGGTAACACTTGGAGGGTGATGGCCACCCTGGTTTTGCACCTGTCTCCAAAGTGAAGAAACAATGCACGAAAATCAGTCAGAGAGAGACAGAGCGAGACAGAGAGATGCACATGTACTCCAAATTTCTGCACCTACTGTTGCACACCTGTGCCGCACATGCCGAGGATGAGGAGAAGCTTGCAGCACAACGAAGGCGGGTTGGAAAGTGGAATTTTAATTCGAAGGCGCCTGCATGTCCGGCAAGTCCTGCATGCTGCCTTTTGCCAACGCTCTGCTGAGCCACCAAGTGTCCATTTCGCAAGCCTGGGTTCATCTCAGTGCACATGGCTCATGCGAAGCCTCTGCATTCAAGGCAGTATCCAACCTGTGCTATGTGATGCCGGAGCGCATTTGGGCGTCACGACGTCCATCGTGACGACCTTCTCCATCTTCAGCTCGGGCTTGACGATGCAGCATGCACGACACTACGTGCACGTCGTCGTCGTCGTTGTCGTCGTCGTTGTTGTCGTGCCTGTCGTGCACGTCGCCGACGTCGTCCTCAGGACAACATGTTGCAGACAAGGCAGACGAGGGAGCTGAGGCATGGGCGACGTCGGCGACGTCGTCGTCATGGTTGTCGTTGCAAAGTGCACGGAAGTGGAGGTGGCGGACTGCAAGCCTTAGCCAAAGTGAGACTCTGCTAATGCTCTCAGGATGCACATCTTTGTTGCAGCCCGTTTAACCATGCCCGAAAACATACGACACGAGCACGCACACACACACACACACACACACACACACACACACACACACACACACACACACACACACACACACACACACACACACACACACACACACACACACACACACACACAACCACACACACACACACACACACACACACACACACACACACACACACACACACACACACACACACACACACGCACACACACACACACACACACGCGCGCGGGAACGGGAACGTGGCGCTGAGACTACCACTCCACAGTGCGTGAGATAACTGTTTAGCAGGACAGAAAGGCCTTAGTAGGCTCCACGTCTCCCGTCTCGACAGAATTTGACAAGATCGTTTTAATGTCGGAATTGAGCCAGGGAGCACATCGACTCAGGGAACATCTGCATGATAAGGAGCGCCATTGTTGCGAAATTCCTCAAGAGCATTCGGAGCGCAGGCTTCTGGTGTTCAGGTCTCTGGATCCGAGAGCCCCGTCTGCTTGAACCTCTTTGCTTCTGAAAGTGCTCTTAGCCAAAGGTGACATCAGCCTTAATGCATGCTCTGACAACAGCCACCACACTACGTACACTCCCAGTCAGCAGAGCTGGAAGGACGCCTCTACCCTCTGAAGTCCAATGGATGTGTGCGTGCTATGACAGCTTGCCTCGAGGGGGTGAAACACGGACGGAAGCACCGGCGTTCGGGCAGAAATGAGCTGCTGTGACTGGGCTTTGCAGATCGCATGCGAAGGCTCGCGAATTGCTAAAGATCATGGGCAATACCGGGTGCGACATGAGCACGGAGTCAGTGCGTGTGAAAGCACGCGAAACAAAATGGCAGGAGAATGACGCCAAGAGATGTGCTACTTTCGTGAATGCACTCCTGCTGCCTACCTCGAACAGATCAGCATGCAATCCAGGATGTAGCTGCCTTGCTGCCTTGATATCTGCACAACATGAAGGACCAGAAGGAGGACAAACTCATGCCAAAAAAGGTGGCTAAAAGTGCCTGCGGCACTCTGTGCCATGTTGCTTCTGCGATTGCATCTTTTGCTGGGACTCGGGTTCGCTTCGCGACGTGACGCAGCATGCAATAAAGTCTGCGCTTCGCATCATGCTTGACATGCACCACGCGCAGCAAGCCACCACGCCATTGCAGCGTGAAGTGGGAGTCTGTGGTCGCGGGACTTGACCCTGTAAGTCCCACAACTCGTGCAAAATTGGAGTCTGTCACGCTTTTGTGCGTTCCAGCATTGAATTCACGACCGGGACTGGTGTCAGCAAGACCCTTCATTTACGTAACTGCCATTGCAAAT